TGATTATGGACTCGCACAAAAACTGTATCAATCTCATTTGCATCTGCATCAAAGGCATACTGTATAAGCTCTGAGGGTTTAGGCATTATCAAGCCTGGTGAGTTATGTATAACACAAACATTCCAGAGCTTATCAGGGTTTGTTTCTGTAGTGTCAGTGAAGCTGCGTCACTTATTCTGATGGGCAGACAGAGAAACAAGTCAGCTTCTCATAGTCACAATCTATCTCAGCTGTTTACACCAAAAGGTATGACAGCTTTTCACTTCAATACAGTCAACGTCTAGCGGCTCAATGTAGAAATCTGGTAACATACACAGAGCCACAGAAGAGTGTGAACATGCAGTACACCCTAAAATTTACAGCTTAGTCAGTTTATTGAAGAGTCTGGTCAATGTTGTGGACGGATGCATAAAAAGAGGTTGAACTAAAACGCATAATGTGGATATTACCAGACTGCAGATACTGTAAAAACAACATACGAGATGTTGCAGAGCAGGAGTAGTAAGATGTCAACATAGCTAATCTTTTAATCAATTTAGGCAGTCATTGGTGCCCTAAACAGTTGCCATACTCCTTAAACCTGCTATAAAATTATGTCATTCATTTGGAGTAATTTAAGTCCAATATTAATTTCCTCAACTGTTTTGGCCTCAGCCAATTCCTGAGCAAACTGTTTTTTGTTTTTTTTTAGCTGCAGACTTTTACTGCTATCTTACCAGGTAGTCAATATGTTTTTCAAAAAAAACAAACCTGTCTGTTGTAGCTCTAATCAATACTGATGGTCAATATGAATCAAAACATTATAGCTGCAGGCCACAACACCGAAACAATATGTTGAAAGGTGCTAAAACCCTCTGGAGAGTTTAGGGGGGCTGTAGTCGAGTAATCACAATTCATGTTGCACAAACTCATTTGACTGATTATTAGTATGAAAACATTGAGAAGTGCAGCTTGAAATATTTTGCATTTGCTGTGTGAACAGCACTGCTGTTCTGTTTTTTATGAAAGTGTATTATAATATTTTCCTTTCTTATAAAACACCTCTGAAAACCCTGCAAATTCTACATTTAGGTCTTAAAATTTTAAGACTAATGCATTAAATACATTTTAACAATTTGGCTTGTACTTTCATTCAGAATCTGATGCGATTCTGATTTAGGTGCAGTGTGTGCAATGCCAGCTTTTTACAGTCACCAATGGACTGACAAAATTTAGGACTTCTCCAATCCTTCATCATCTCTCCCTTCTCCAACTCTCCAACTCTGCTGCAGTTTGAGTCAACTCACTTATGGAGTAAATAATCTAAACTGAAACTTTATGGTGAAACATAAGATGAGCTGTGATATGCTGCATGTCTGTCTCACATTAGCACACACACTTAGACAGCAGTGGTTGTGAAGGTACTTTGATAGGAGCAACAGGTTGGCTTGCTCAACCTCAGGTCGTCCAGACCTGTCCCAACACATACCTGGATTATGGCCTTGTCAGAAGAAGAAGAGTTGTACCTGGGCTTTAATCCTGACTCTTCTGTCTAAATGAGTAAGCCTATGTGATATAAAGCAGTTCAGGTCATTGGGTAAGATCCGGACTAACCCCCTTTTACTTACAGTAGCTGCCAGCAGAACCTCTAGCTTGACTCACAGACTTAAAATATCATAAAAATACCTCAGAGGAAAGTAGTTCATTTCACAATTGGAAAGAAAGAGGGTCTTATTAGGCAGAATGCCAATCAGCAGCATTTGCCAGCTACAGTATTAAAGTGTTGTGGAAATCAGCATGAAACAACCAGCACAACTCTTGAGAGCCTAAAGGTACCTAGAAAGCTCTAGGTAAAAAAAAAAGTCAAAATGGTGTTTAGATTATCAAATGTAACAGTCTAATAAAACACAACTGATAGGCTTAACTTTGGGGGGAAAAAGTCCTAGAATCAGCTGCTGGGGACCTAGTGATATGGTTGACACCCCCAGAACAAGCAACTGAATGGACTTTAAATTGAGATTCTATTAGTGAAATGGAGGAACTGTGGGGACAGACAGCAGTCACCAGGTGAAAGCAACAGGGGCCTAACAGATGTGCAGAGATGCCACTGACCTCACTGAAGTGGATCAGGTATACGCCACAGTGGCTCTGATGATCCCAATCATAAAATTTATAAAATATATTAAAGTCTCAAGGCTACAGCTCTATATAGGCTAAAACACAGAGTTGGGATCCTGCTAAATGGCATGTGTTTGAGGTGGACAGCGATCAGTGTTAAAATTTTACTTTAGACTACCCCTAGCATATTATCATGGATCTGATAAAGTCCCGCAGACCAAAATGTACCCATTTGTATTCAGTTTTATACTTAGTTACCTTTTAAAACTAATATCTTTTCCCTAAATTTCCTACACTGGACATTAAACACTGGCCTGAACAACACACGAATAGCTTAGACTTCATTAGGTCTCAGTGCTTGTTTCCCAATTTAATCCAATACATCTACGATGAAGAAGAAATTGCAGCTAAGATGGAATCGCCCGCTTTTATACTTGGAAACCTTCCCTGTTAAGCGTGACAGTGTCGTCCACGTGATGGATAAACAAACATACCCACCTATGTACTTGATGTCAAAGCCCTGCGGCGGTTTCAAGGTGCGTCTGGTCCATCCATTCCTGAGGACTTGAAGATGAACTTCTTTGCCCTGGATCAGCAGCACATGCTCATCTATCCAGCCAAGGAAGAAAATCTCTGACAGGGCGTGTGTCAGCGCCTTGTTCCAGAAATGTTGCATGTTTATGGCTTTGAAATTAGCGAAGACCTCATAGCCAGTGTGATGCTGTAACTCTAAGGAGAGCTCGGCCGGTGATGATGGTGAGTCCTCTTCAGCTTCTCCGCAAACCTGCGCCAGCACCAGAGCCAGAGAGGGCGGAGCGATCTGTTCTTCCCAACTGTGCGACGCTGTTTAATGTCACGCGCAAGTTTTATATCTGTCCAAAATTGATAATTAACCTTTACTGGATTAAACATTTTAAAGAAATCAACTGCAGAGGAAAGAAACCACGCTGCGCTGATCCACAGTCGGAAGCACGACGCCACAAGTGGTAAACACAGGTGCTCCATGTAAAACTAGGGAAATCAGCAACCTGATACGTTGTCCACTCCAGCCAGCTATCCCCAACTATCAGAGTATTAGAGCCTGTTCTCAGCGACAAAAGAGGCGAGGACTTGTGTTGCATTCAGGTGCAACACGTAAACTCCGATTTTCAACATTAGGGTACCACCACAGCTGTTAGAGGCTGTGTTTACTAATCTTAACAGCAGACGGTTTAACATACAAGTCAGAACACTCAAAGAAGTTTAGCAAATGGATGTCCTAACAATAATCTGACAAAACAATGGAACACCTGCATCATCAACTTCAACTGCAACTTTATTGTCCCCAAGAGGAAATTAGCTGAAAAGCTGTACAAAACGCACACACACGAATATAAATTATGATAAAATACATAAATAGCTCACAAATGCTAGCATAAAAGAATTCACATCAGTAACCACGTGTGGTAAACCTGGTGTAGGTCTGCATCCAACTTCAATCATTTCACTAGTTTAAAGGGCAGGAAGGTTGTTTATTTATTTAACAAATTTCATACCCAATAGCAGGGTGTTATAATTTTCATAATAGATCTGAAACACACTGTCATCACCTACCAATATTAAATGAAAGACTGAGCATCAGCAGCCTCATCCTGAGCATTTAACAGTGGTGCAAATGCATTTCTCACTGTTAGACCTGAGCCTTGATCAGCTGAGTCTCTGCCCACAAGGAGACTCCCATATACAGTACCTTGCTTAAAATGGTCAATTATTGATGAGTCTACTTAGGTATTTGCATACTGTCAAGGTCTATGGTGTGTTGGAGGCTGCTGCTGGTGTAGTTCTATTGAACTGCATGTATTAAAAATTGTGCACCTGATTTATATGTATGGAGAAGAAAACCCTTTACAAAACAGCCTCAAAAACTACCACAAAGTTCAATCAACCTCATTAAATGCAAACTGCCTTAAAGTACTACTATTTATTACACAACTGCTGCACTGAATTATAATGTATATTTGCTGATCATTTAATGGCAGAAATTAAGGGACATCAAGTTATTTAAACAGACCTTCTGTCAGCTCAGTAGCACCTCTAACTGGAACAATGCATGATTAACATGCAGGTCATGTTAATGGACACTGGATTGTAGCTATTAGTTGATTTAATTGATTTGCCAAGCAAAAGAAAAGGATCAGTTTTAGAACTATTTTGATATTTTATGAATCTTTACAATCCCATAACTTGATAGTCTGAGGTTAAATATAAGAATTTGCTGCTTTCTCGCTCTTATAATAAACTGGATATTTGTGGGTTTTACCTTGTTGGTCAGACAAAACAAGACATTTGCTTAAGTTGCTTTGCCACGACAAAGTGATAAGCATTTTCATGCTTTTAAACACCCTAGCTGATTGTGCATAAATTGTAGAGATAATATGCTTATGTAATACCAAAGAACCAAACCATTAGTGTTAAAGATGAAAGTGATACTAAACTTGAAAATTCACAACACCCCTTGGGTGAGATTGAATATAAGATTCAAAGAGCAATGAAGAAAATGAGTGCAGGTTACACTAGTTCTTTGTTTAGGCAAAATGCTTCTGTGCTTGCAGTGAAGGGATCTGATGTCCAGCTGTATTTGGCCCTAGGCCTTGGGATCTGGTGGTTCTCATCTCCAAGTATGCCAGATCTGATGTTATCCTGCCTGTTTACATAAATAATTCTGAGGTATGAACAAAACTTCCTGTAAAAACAATCAGAACATAATCAGATTTCTTCTAAATCACTCAATCCTGTTAGTTACATATAAGGTTTCAAGTTTGACACCATTCCACAGCAAATTTTTATCTTTTTTAAAGGAGACATGAGAAACTTAAACTATTAAAGTTCCTCTTTAGCAAGTCACAAGGAATAAATGAACCATGTTTAAGTGTGAAATGTAAAGTTGTATTCAAAGTACAAGTAACTCCACAAAAGTGACTCGCCTCAAACAGCATTTGTGTGCAGGTTAGCTGGCTTTACTCATGCATGCTATTAAACCAGCAGCCCACTAATTGGAGAAATCCCTGTTTAGAAAATAGTGTAAAAAAACAAACATGAAAACTCTTAGTCTTAAAACTGACAATATGGACCTTTAACCTCTAATTTCCTTACCGAGAACAAGTGTATATTTAGGTTACAGACAGCTCATTAGGTACTACTGTACAGAATGACATGATAATTTTGGGTTGTGCAACCTTCATGTCAGATGTCACTACACTGACGCAATGTTAAAAAAAAAAGGCACAGACATTATACACGTGAGCCCTTCATCATTTCTATAAACACTCAAGTTAAAATAAACTGCTGATTCATAGAAATGTTGATGATGGAGGCCATTATCCCAGCTATGGTTTCATGATTAAACAAATTCATATCAAACTGGCTCCCACTATATTTCCCTGAAATGCATAGTGTAACAGCAGAGAGGCATCCAATGGTACCAAATTTTGAGCTTGAAATTATAAGGACAAATAAGGACAATTTTAAAATGGTTTCCAGTGGTTCACTTTTTTTTTAAAAATTACCGACTTGTTTTAAAAACAACCTTTTTTAAGGTTCATTGTGTAAAAACAGAAGCTACTGGGTTAAAGATATTAACGCCAGATGTGTTATTAACTATTATATGCGGGGAGAACCTTATAATGCCAAGCTTCTGAAATGAAACAGCTGTTTTGTATGACAGAAATATCGAGGATGAAATTTCAAGACAGATTCAGTCAGAAAGTGTAAACGAAAATAATTCACAGCCAACACTCTTGCATGCACATCTTCAAGCTTTTCTTCTAAACGCTGAGGTTTTCTGCTGCAGAGAAGACACTCAAGGAAAAAAATACATCTCTTTCCTCAGCATTGACACAATGCATGGGATTTGTTTCTTTGCATGAAAGCCTGGTGAGTTGGAGATAGACTCAAACTCTGCTGCCACCTTGTGGTTCACTCGTACCAGGATGTGCTGGAGCTCCAATTCTTTTCCGTATGCATTGATCATATCGCACACAGACTGGATAAACCAGGACCCTGTCATAGTATTCCTCCATGAGTAGTAGCCTGTATACAGAGGAGTGACAGAGAAAAAATACAATTCTTAAAAAGGAAACTATATGTATGCAAAAAGACCTGTATTTGTGTGTATTATTATGAACCTGGGGCTGTGGAGTAGGCATAGAGGAAGTCCGCCTCCACAGGGATCTTGGTAGTGCCATCGTTTCCACTGTCCTCTTCAATGCCTGGATCAAGTTCAGTGCCTCTGCAGGCCTACTCAATGCGAACAAACAACAAAGTGGTTACAGGTTACATACCTCAGCAAAGCCCAAAGTGAATTAGAGCAGAGGGGAGAGAAATGGACAACTCTTAAAGTACCTGGATAAAGAAGAGTTTGGGCTTTCCCGCCAGTGATTTGCAGCGATCGCCTCGAAAAAGAGATGTAAGGTCATGAAGCTGTATTGAGCCATCGGTACCAAAAATCATCCCTTCATCTCCATGACTTAACAGAACACAGACGAATGAGGCCGAGCTGCTGTGGTCTTCCTTTGACACTTTTTAAAAAAAAAAAAAAAAAAAAAAAAAAAACCCATATATATAAAAGTAAATTCATAGCCGATGAATAAGACAGCAAATGAAATAATTTAGTGGTTTAGAGTTATAGTTGTATTTTGTGGCTGTGGAGGTTTTGTGGCAATTTGAACGAATTTTGCATTTTACTTACCAGCAGTTAAAACCTGCTCCATCTGCTTGACTGACTGGTCATTGTAAATCTTCACTTTATAACCCAAGTTAGAAAACACTTTCATCATGTTGGCTGCATCTACATCGGTACCATTTCGCTGATTCATGCCTAAAAAAAACAAAACAAAAACAGAACACCACCTCTTACTTCCTCATAACTAGATTTTTCCATCAGCATACACTGTAGGCAATTTGATACATATATCTGCCTATAATTTTAAAGGACCTGCACCCTGAACAGCTGAAAACAATTTAATGAATATGGCAATACAAGCTTCACCACTGCTGATGTTTACCCTGCTCATGGAGCATTAAGCAGTCTGTTGACCAAGTAGTCATGTGTACCGAGTTACCTGCAAGACGGGTTTATCAAACCAGAGTCTGACAAGTGACTCTGATACTCTATACAATAAGAGCAGACTGAAGTTGTTTGCTTGCACTGATGCCCAAGGTCTTCTCAGCCAGATATTAAAAGCTCTTTCGATAACCACAGACACTGCTCTTAAGCTGTTCAAGCTTACATTGCAATGCCCATCTTTCGATAAAGGATTAAGGTCAACTCATGGTTTTAAATAGCATCTCCAACAATTGTAGAAACAGGCCTTTATATCCTCAGAGATGCAAGTGTTGGACAAACACTCCCCTATAGATCCTTAAGGGACAGGCATGGTCGTGCTTCATTAAAAAAAAAAAAAAAAAAAAAAAAGAACACCCAAAAGACACAGAGCAGCAGCTGCGATGGCTCTCTTTATGAATACTACCACCCTAAAGCCAGAATATTCAATACATGCACAGGATAGATATTATCATACACTTAATGCCTTAGATTTGTGTTACTGCCCATTTAGATGTGTTATTGCTCAGCTACTTTATATTTCACCTGTGTTGTGTGGCATTCATATGGACAGCAAAGTAAGAATTTCATTGTACAGGGAAACGCGTTTCCTAACTATGCATATGACAAATAAACACTTTGACCTTGACCTTAGCTCATATGCTACTATTACCCTCAACTGCTTTTTCATTCTCATCTCCACACCCAAAATAAGGACTGCTACAGAGCTAACGGGAACATCTAATTAACTAGCATTTAAATGGTATCCACAGCAGCCTGTGTAGTGTCCCTTAGCACACCTATTATCTCAGGTGTGCATGTAATGTGACTGAACTGCTCTGTTGTACACTGACATGGTGAGTCAGACGCAAAGCCTTACTCTGCTGTTACATCCACATAAAAGGCAGCGGAACAATGTCTGTCATGGTGCTCACCCAACTCCAGACCATATCCTGCTGTCAATATGGTGGAGTAAACAGCTAAGTAGCAAAGGGACAGATTAACACTGGACATAATCACAGCACAAACGTGTTAGCTAGAGAAGAAAGATAGAGTTCAGCCTAACGAAGCATCTGCTGATCAGCCATCTGCACAGAAGAGGCATCACTTTGCAACTGAAGGCAGCTTCATAAGCAATATTATCCCAGGAATGACACATAATACCTTAAAACCTTAGGTGTCAGATAACCGCTCACTCTTAATCAAAGTTTTAACATGGTACATCTGAGTCAACAGGCCCATCAACCTTGGGCTAAAAAAGGACTCTAAAGCTCCAGTATGACTCTTCTGCATTTGCTGGAAAATAACCCTGAACCCACCACCCAGTGAGAATGAACAAATCAAATTTGAAATTCAAGTAGTTATTTTCATTACTCTGTAGCTATAATTCTAAAGTAGTTCACGATTACAAGTAAGTGTATGAGTTATAACAAATGACAAGTGCCTATCATGAGGACCTAAGGCTGTGTCCAACTAGAACCAAAACCAAGGATATTTGCTATTCAAATTACATTTACACAGAGAGAAAACATGCAAATATTCACCTTAAGGAAGACCTTTTTTTTTTCTTACCATTATTAACTAATATTTTTCATTCTCCAATTATGACACTAAATAAGAGATCTGCAACAAATAGTTTTTTCTTAGTAGCTATGTGCTATTTATAGCACTTTCATTTTGAACATGTTTCATCAGAAAATAGCCAAAACAACTTAAACACCTGTTCCTCTGTCAAAGTTCTTGTTGTTGATGATGATGCACTGGCCTTTGCTGGGGAAATTGAGGCTGTATCTGAAGCTGCGTAAGTGGGGCTTAGCATCCACGTCCATAGCAACGGGGGTAGACAAAGACCCCTCCGCCCTGAGGGGTAAACACACCATAACACGGTCTATAATTAAAATGTAAAATTTTAAGTTGCAGGCCTATTTAAGTGGTTCATCACATGACAAATAACTCAGTAACTACATGGCTATGTAGCTCAAAACAGCTCGCAGAATTGCATTACTTAGATCTGCTAGATGTAGGAAATAGCGGGTTAAATAATATGCTAATGGAGGGTAATGTTACCGGGGGCGAATCATTTCCGCATCCCATGAATAAACATCGATAAATAGACGCATTAACTGAGACTCACCGTTGTCCGTCGTCTCGCCTCGCGTCTGTGGCGTCTTCTCCGGGTCTGGGTCCGGGTCCGGGTCCATTAACCGACATTTTTCAGTCAGGAAACTAACCGCTAACTAAACAATGAAGCCACACACACTGTAAGACAAGACGCAGCCCTCAATGACTAATGCTAGAACAGAGACGTGTCGAGACACAAGACGTAGCTAACTACCCGCTGCAACAAGCTAATAAACAAAAGTGCTGACGTCATGCGGAGATGCGCTCGTTTTATAGTTCCCCTCCTCCACTGGAGGCTAAGTTTGTAATCCTTTATAATGCATGCATTCAGTTAATTAAGCACACGTTTGTGATTACCCCACTGTCCACAGTGCCAGAAATAAAATTCCGGTACTGAAAACGCTTATTCTTGTTGGCCTGAAGGTAAAATTATATGAACCGAAATGGAATTCTGCTGTAAAATACCCAGTGTGTTTCAGTTTCAGACTGTAAACCCACTCAGGTCCTCAAATCCCCCAAACTCCCAGAGAAAATGTTCACCAGCCTCGGATATTACCGTGTTGCCTCAAGAGAGTTTGGTGCACAAAATCTATGCTTTCTTTTTCACTTTTAAATTTAGTTTAATTTTTTCTCCTCCAATAATTTGCAATCTTAAGGCTCTACTTGACTACATTTTAGAGGCAACTATTGTAGATTTTACTCCACTACATTCATTTGATAACTTCATTTACTTTTCAGAATTTGATTAATAAAACAAAATAGTTTGTAGGAAGTGTACAAGCTACCCAGCAGTAATTCAAATAATAAGCATATAAGGTATAGTTAGTCCACCTTTAAAGGCTGCAACATTAAATGTGAGTAACATAAGAACACATTAATAATCCAAAATGTACAGTGTTATGCTTTTACTTTGGTAGATTTGGTTGCTTTTGGTATATTGTGTTGCTAATATGCCTGAATGTCAGAGATGTAGCAGAGTATTTTTACACTGGTTTTAGTAGTTTTACTTAAAAAAATCTGAGTACTACTTCCACCACTGACTATACTTAGGTAGCTACAGCCAAAACTAGCTCTACTTCAGAAAGTATTGGTCATCATTGTGATTTAACATTGTTGTTAATTGAGCACTGAAAAGGCAAAATGTTGTTAGAGACAATAATTAGCCAGTGGAGAAATGGACTTTTTCTAATATATCCTCACTAATCACAACTAAATTTTTCCAGGTCCATATTTGTGTTATATGCTGAGTAATTTGACATAAATACACAGACTGATATTTACATTTCTAACTAAAGGTGAGGGTCATATATTAAGGTTAGTTGTATTTGATGTGGTCAAAACCCATACACTAGTTCATGCTGGTTAAAATGAAAAATAAAATTCTGCTTTAAAAACATTAACTAGTAGAAACTGAGAGTCTTTGAAAAATTTATGAAACTAAAGATATGCACTTCATCTCCATTCAAAGCATATTTTTTATTGTCAACCTCTAATACAGTGCTGCTAAAAAAACGGCATTACAGGACAAAAAAGGAGAAAAGTACGGTCAGACCGTAAGTCAATACTTATATTTTACTTCATATGTTTGTAATTACTGAACATGTTTTAGGAAAAGTTCCTCAAACAAACTTATAAAATGACAAACTCTTCAGAAGCCAACATCAAAAGTTGACTGTTTATCTGTGAAATCAAGGAGGCTGTATTAAATCACTAAAGTGCAATAACACCTTCAGTCTAAGAAATGTGGGGAGCTGTGGCACTGGGTATATTATCAATCTCGACAGTGAGGAGAAAAAAGGGGAAAAACAAGTAAAAATATAAGAAAAAAGTTACAAACACAGATGAGATGACAGGGTTACACACTGAAGGGCAATGGCTAAAAATCAAGATTACGTATGTTAAAAAAGAGAGGACAGACGGAAACCCGCAAGCTATAGTGTAGTATCAAGATGTACAATCCGCACACAAACTCATGTCAATTTAGGTGATTTATAAAGTAACATTTGAAGTAAGTAACAGTGTAGGTCAAAGACAAATTAATTTAGAATAGAAAGCTATCCTGGGCAGCAAACGGTGACTCATAATAAGTTGGTTCACATAACCCAAACAATGAAAGTGCCAAAATATGAGTAAACAAAAACGAAAAGGCAAAAAATTTAAGTGCCAGTTAAATACCACAATTACTTCACTATTTAATATATTTACACAGAAATATTTGCAACATAATCTTTTGTAACCTTGATTTTCACTGTTCTCCTTTTTAAGTACACTTGAATGTAAAATTATTTTGATTTTCACAAATCACACAGTCCTTCCACTCACATAGCAAACATACAAAGACAAAAACAGAATTCAGTTTTTACATGCTTGCTTCAAACTTTCCACACATTTCATTTTGTGCCATATGTATGCATCGAGGCACTCTTATTGCTGTCTGCTAAAAATCTACACTTGCAGCACACAAGACTAGAATAACCTAATTCAAGATTAAAGCTATGATCAATACTTTTAAAGGAAGAATACCAGGAAGACAAAACAACTGCCTTATATTTCCCTTCACTTCACTAATTAGCCCATCAGAAATCAGCGCACCGTTTAGTGACAAGCTGAAGCACACGGCTTCTGCTGCCCTTAACGTCATCTCAGCTGTTGAAATGGTGAGCCTCAATATTCATGTGGAAAGCAGCAGTGAAATGGTTGACCCTAGTATTAGCAAGAGCACAAGCTTTAGGTATGAAAATAGAAGTGTGACCTAAGAAGCAACATAAGGATCAGAGTAATCAAATACATAACATTTGCAATTTATTCTGACCAGACCCCTACCCAGTCAACAGCTACACCCTTTAAAATGAATTGTTAAAGGACAAATAAAATAACCAACAAAAGGACAGGGTTCAAATATTTACCTCATACTAGCGCCCTTAGTATTTTCATTGGTAAGCTATCGATACAAATTTGGTTGGTCTCATTTATGTGATATTCAATGTTATCATATGAAACAAAAATTAAGAATTAAGATTAATGAACTAAACAAAAATCTGAATTTTCTTCCTCAGTTAAGAGTAGAAGTGAAAATGTTATTCAAGAATGAAAAAAAACTACTTATACCTTTTTGAGGAACAAAGTATGCAGCCATTTAACACCCACAATTAAGGACTGTGGAGAAAACCAAACCAGATGTGATCAGGCCAACATACAGTAAGAAGAGACATAATCCTAATGAACTATTTTAACATCTCTTCACAATGTATTTCAAATGAGGGTGGGGGGTAGGGGGAAATAAATCACTGATTTTGAAATAGGAAAAAAGTCTAGTAGATGTAGTCAGTTTCCTAAATTTAGTAGTTTCCTAAAACTACTAAAAATTCCAAGGAAACCAGATAATTCTTAAAACGTCATTACTTCCTTGAGGGAGAAAAAAAAAATCCCGCTTTTATCAGAACCACTGAAGCTTATGCGTCTATACCTTTGGTCTGAAACTGGTGTAGTGAATACTTACCTAATATTTTTAATAGTTCTCAGTATCATAAAACTTTATTGACTTACAGTGGTGCTCTGCTGGAGAAGCTGCAATACATTCACTGCAAATAATCCTAATCATGAATGCACAACAAAACAAACCCATAAAGTACACATTAATAGTAGCTCACTTTGTCATATCGTAAGAAGTCATCTGGGTAAATTATGCCTCTGTCAATAGTGCTTCCAAAGAAAATGCATGACATTACCAGCATAACCTGTTGTCAAATGTAACTCAATGCTGTACCACAGAACCCAGGACTTAAAACAAACAGCGGACAAAGACCCAGATAAACAGTATTTGAGAGGCAGTGAGAGGGGATTCTGAACACTAAACGGCTGTAATGTTTCTACAATGCTAAATGTGCATTGCGTCTACGTTGATGGCAAAGTGTCCCGACTCCTTTGATCCTTAGCAAATTTGCTGGAATAGGAGAGCTAAGTGTGGTGATCAGATGAAGCTGTGGACACTGAAAATGTCAGGCTTGATTCCCATCATTAGCTGATGTAAAGTAGACCACCTCTTAAATCTTCTCATTTGTGCAGCACTGACGGAAGCAGGCTCATTTGGCTGTGATCAGAAGATGTCAGGGCACATGTCCCAACTGCTTTGTTCCTTTGCCTCCCAGTATCCACCCTTGTAGACATGCAATGTCTCTTCGGATACAGGGTCGTCAATCCTCTCAAACCACAGTGCTTGGTAGTTGTCTTGATGGGTGCCTGAGAGAAAACAAAAAAATATTATAGTAAGAAGAAATTTTAGAGGGACCTGAAGCAAGGGTTAGGAAGCCACTGAGTCATGACAACATATCATGCTTAAATTAAGCCAGTATGCACCCAGATGGTTGACTGAGATATAGATGCATCTTAATAAAACAAAATGGCAAATAAATAATTACCACTCAATGGGAGCAGCAATTTATTCTTATATAATGTATATTGTAGAGAGAACAATGATACTGGTCAATGACACAAAAAGTACTACTCCAAAATATTTCAGCACAAAGTTTATTCTACAGTTAGCTACTGCTAGTTTGCTACAACATCATTAACACAACACCTAAATAACAAAAACTAATAATAATAATAAAAGGGGAACAACAGACAGCAGGACTAATATTACTTGCTTTTGCCTGGAGCTCCATACAGACCTTCCTCCCCTTCCACTAAGAGAGAGCAAGTTGAAATGTAGAAAAAAAAATGAAGAAAGATGGACAGGGATTTTCTAATCTGGATTTTACTACACCACTGGAAAATCTGAAACAGTTGTACTGCATGCATTATATCATGATCAGAATACTTGCTTAAATATGGGAAGAGTGATGGTCCATGAGGGGCTAAAAAAAAAAGATGATTTGAGGAGGAGTTAGGACATAAAAGAATCGGTTTGCTCTGAAAATGACTACTACAGTCATACAGTGAGTAACGGTGTTCAGTGCTGCTTGTGTGAAACAGATGTATCAGGGGGCAAGTTCTTTGTGTCAGCCAAACACCAGCAAAAAAGAGATGCAAATCCACAACTCAACTACTCTACTCAAGATCACTACTACACTACTCAAAATCCACACAACTGTCTTGTTTATTTGCATTTTAAAAGTGCTTTGTGTAGCATTTTAAACAATATAGACTTATGAAAGTAACTGTGAGAGCTCAGTATACTAATCATTAACAAAAGAAGTTTTCTTTTAATCTGCATCTCATGCAAATATGACAATAGTAACATTTTCTTGCCACATTTCCAAGCCTTTGCTTTGTGGCACAAAGGGAATCTTTGCTTCTTCATTTTAAGATTTTTTTTTTCTAAACAATTGTTTCCACTGACCAGCCATTCTCTTATTTGTATTATCAATCAAAATCAATCAATAAATGAGTACATTTTTGGTAAAAAGTTAACAGGCAGCTTCATAATTAATCTGAGTTAGAAAATGCAGTGTATCATGTAAATGCAGTACTTAACTGAGTGTACCATGCAATACATCTAGCAATGCAAAATGGACATTACATCATCTATGACCTCTGCCAACTATAGTGGTTTTTGGCGGCCTGTTTTAATTTTAGTTGTAGTCTAGTCTTTGTGTGAAGCTGTCATTTTAGTTTTTATTAGTTTTAGTCACGTTCATATTCTTTTTAGTCTAGTCAAGTTTCAGTCAACTAAAAGTCTGAGCATTTTAGTCTTATTTTAGTCAGAATTATCCATGACTATTTTCATCTAGTTTTAGTCAATGAAAATTGTATTTGTCACTTTTTAGTAATGCAATTCTATTTAACCCATTCAATATAGTATAAGTACCTAGCAGTATATACGAAACCAAAATTTTCTTTGAGCCAGACCCATTTCAAACAAGGTTATCTTATTATATTATGGTTACCTTATAGACTCAAAAATACAGTACATCCACTACACATTTTGTGTGATTTTGTGGCCGCATTTCTCCCATCTTTTCCATTTTCTTTTCCACTTCTATGTAATGAAAGTTTTTCCAAATGTCATGTCTTCTTTTTCTCCAAAAGACTAACCCCGGCCGGCCGGCCGGCCATTGGTCCCTTTCTCTGTGTCAGACTTAACTTTGTTTGTTGTCGTCTTCTAAATAATGCCGTGAGTGGGGCTTAAGGAAGTGACGTCGCCTGCGTCTGCGCAGTGCGACCTGATGCGGCCCCTGAAGCAAGACACAGAAATACTGCAAAATAATAATAATGTGACTAAACGAGACGAAATAACGTTATAACATTTTGTTCAACGAAAATGGAGACATTTTAGCGTAGTTTTTATTTTGTAAACCACATTTAGTCTCGTTTTTCGTCAACAATATTGCATTATACATTTAATTATAGTCATCGTCACACGACCAGCATTTTTGTTGCGTCTCGTGTCGTTTTCGTCACACAATAAAGGTTCGTTGATGACGATATTTAGTCATAATTTTCATTGACGAAAGCAACACTACTGCCAATCTGCCACATATAGCTCTGTCCACAGCTGAAAGTGCTAATGATTGTCTTTCTTGTTCCAAAACGTATCAATACTAGTTTAAGAAACTGTGAAGTCATAGTATTAAAAACAAGGCCGCCAGCCTCCCATGGATATGCTATGGCCATTTTTTCACTCACTGCTTAGTTAAAATGCCACTCAAAGCACTTCTGTGAAGTGATACTTGCTTTCATCAGAAACCTCACTTGCTTCTGTGCCAGTCTCTTGGGTGTCAGCTAAATGGAACAGAAATGGATGTAGGGAGAGTAAAATGTCAATGAGATATTAAGATGGTGTAGTAAACATTTAACACCTCCCTATTACACACACAACCATGTTGTATGTTTGCTTTTGACTACAGAGGCAGTATAAACAATAGGTCGAGAGTGGGGAAAAGACTAAGACAAGAGTACTTGCTTTTCAAGAGTGAGTCACTGATTGAATCCTCAGTGACAGCTTTCAGTTGAGATGGAGACAAGCAGATGAGGAATACCAAGCCAGATAAAAGCAGCCAGGTGGACAAAAACAAATAGATAAGCTTCAAAAATAAATCTCCTTTCTTTTCTTACCCTCCTCAGGTGAGCTGGCTGCTTTTACAGCTTCCCTTTCTCTTCGTACAGTGCGCTGTTTTTCTTCTAGCCTCTGTTTCTCTGTGTTAGCCTCATCCCAACGGCCTTCCTCCATTAATCGTTGGTCCGGCCGTCTTCGGCTGTCTGTTGGCGCCACTCCCTCTTCAGGTTCATTGAGTGTCAAGGCCAGTGAGGAGAAGTAGTACATGTTCTCAGTTCCCTCTCTGGAAAGTAATCAAGATTAAAATAAATCAGAGGCACAAAGCTGGTGAAAATACTGCCCTATCTCTACAGCCCAGTTTATTCAGAAGTACTTTTAACATTCTCAGTCCTACCAATCTATTACCAAACTTACGGTAAAGGGTTCTTTCTCCAGATTTCTTTGGCTTTGAGGGTCTGGTAGACAGTCCTCTGTTTGCCTTCAGTGCCATTCTCGCCTTTACTGCTCTGTATTACCCTAGAAAACTCCATCTTCTCATCCCAGGTTCCTGACAGCACGTAATGGGCTTTTCCATCCTTATCTGTTACTACTCCTGTTACCTGACAGAAAAAAACAGCTTTCAGTCAAGAATGTAATGAAGAAGCTGACATATGAAAGCATAGGTGCTAATAGAATTAATAGCTGCATAGTTTCAGCTAAATATTTTCTGAACAAGAAGCACAGAACCCACCATAATAAATATATACCTACATTCATTTATAATTTACTATATGGATTTCGATCTCCCTGTAAAGTCTGGTTTCACACAGAGTATGTGCGATATCATAGAAGAAAAAAAGATGTGAAAACCTTTCTTGGTACATCTCTGGAGAAGTAACTGTAGGGAGTGAACTTGAGGTGGCAGCGATCTCCTGTTCTGTGGTTCACCACATCTATCTCCCCTGACTGGAAGGGAAAAAACAGTGGGGGGTGGGGTTGGGGAGACTTTGCTGTTAAAGATATAAAAGATGCACCCAGTAGAAGGATAAGCAATGAGTTCTGTGAAGACATCCGTCACTCATTTGTCTAAACAGTCTGACAAAGATGGCACAGCAGATGGCTGCCTCGATTGTGTTTGTTGTTTTCCTGGTATTCTCTGTCTTCTGCAGGCCATCCCAGATTACCTTTATCAGAGAAGATCTACTAAACAACAGACAACTCACTCCAAACACCTTTTCTCTGATTTTTGCTAATGAAAAAAGCTGACCGGACATTTTGATCAGAGGGGCAGCAGCCATCTATGGGACCTGGAGCAAATGCTGGCGAGGGAAGAGAACAGGGGCCCTGGTTAAGTATCAACAAAGAGGGACTCCCTTCTGGCTAAAACCTTGTGCTGATCAGCTGGCCCCCATCTTCACATTTATCTTCAACAGAGCACTGGAGCTGTGTGAAATCCCCCTCATGCTTCAAACATTCAACCATCAGTCAGTCAGAACTGCAGAAAAGATCACTGGTGCTAGCCTGCCCTCCACGGAGGACCTGTACACATCACAGGTCAAAAGAAGGGCAGAGAAAATTTCTGCAGACCCCTCACACCCTGGACACAAGCTGTTTGAAGTCCTCCCCTCTGAACAGTGCTACAAGTCACTGTATGCCAAAACAACCAGACACAAGGACAGTTTCTTCCCCTGGGCCATCGCTCTGATGAACACTTAACCTATGACTGTATAGCAGAACAACAGCCCTCAGTGCAATACCTTGAAAATATACCTTTGTATACATCTATCTTAAAACTTCCATCTAAACTGTGTGTATATACACATTTTATATAAGTACTTTATTTTTATTATCCTAATGCACATTCCTTTTCTCTTGTTTGCACACTTTTTCTTGTTCTCTCAGTCTTATCTTATTTACTCATTGCCTTATGGAAGAACACTGTACATACACATTGAGAGCCACTGTACCAAAGTAAAATTCCTTGTGTGGTCAACACATCTGGCCTATAAAGCCGATTCTGAAAATAGGTAGTAATGGTGTCATATGCATATGTTAAGTACAAAATAAATCAATTTTTTAAAACAACTTCAGAGTTACCTGATCAATCCATAATTTCCCCACAATAATGTTGTGTACTGTTGTAGTCACTTTTTTCCAAGAGTAGTGATTACTGCTCTTTGCAAATATACACTGGATAGAACCTATGGACAGAGAGGGAACAATGTTACATAGGACAATTCATTCTGCTCAACCAAAAAGCACTTCACTTGTATTTCACATATACACAGCGCACTGCAAGCGCACACTTACCCAGGGGCATGATGGAGAGATATTTTCCTCTAAACTTGCTGGCTAGTGTAATTTCCTGTCTGAGAGTCCAGCCCTTCTCAGAGACAGCATGGTGAGCTGCAGCAGGTGGGTGGTGACTCACCTGGGAAGAGGTGTGAAGTTAAGATATGATCTTTCTTTTTACATGATGACTTTATCTTTTCAAGAAAATAAACATGCTTGCTGTGGTCAAACATAGCTAAACTAATACATTTAAGTCTGCAAATGTCACCTACTACATGTATGATGCTGTTTTTTGTTACTGCTGCTCACTGCTTGTTAGTTTTAAATGGTTTCTCATGGGTTTTCAACATACTTGTTCACACAGGGAGCGGTAGCCGCACTCTCTCAGCCGATCAAGCTCAAAAGTTTCTCCCAGCAAGGGATTGAAGGGCTTTCCTGTGCGGTGGACAGTGGTGGAGTAGGAAGAGACTGTAAAAGCAGCCACATAACACATCTGTTCCAAAGAGCTCTGACACTTAGCAGCCTTATCCAGCAGCTCGTAGTACTCCAGGTCTTCAGACAGACGTTGCAGCATTGAGAGGGGCTCGTTGAAATTCACCTAGTATGTACCACATCACAGAGAAAAGAAGCCTGATTATTTCTGATTATGCTCACAATGAAAATTCATTTAGGTGTCAAAAAGTGTACCAGTTTCTTACAGGCATTGGGATCTTTGAGAGCTCCTTTCCAATGCAGTTCTTCATGATGCTCCACAGATTGAGGTAATAGTTGGGCTTGTCTGGGATACGAGTCCGTCTTCGCCTAACTGGCTCAATCTCAAGAGGCTGTGGAGATTCCGGATTGGATGCCAAGGACAGTTCATCAAACTGACAAAAGAAAAGTAAAACGCTATGAAGAGGTGACTTTACAACACAAATCAACGTGCTTAAAAAACAAACTTAGCACATTTACCGACTGATCGTCCATTCCAGTCTCACTGCTGATGCCACTAATGTTACTGCCAGATCTCCTGGAGAACAGAAGTAAGAAAACAAAATAAAATATTACATAGGAAGAAAAAAAATGACATAAAATCCACTGATGTTTAAACAAGAAAGACATTTAATAACCTGTGATACTTTGGGTCAGCTGGGACAGTAATAAACTCTGCTGGGTCTTCCATAGCATCAAAGAACTCATTGTCATCATCCTCATCACTGGCATCACCTTTTCCTGAAACCCCACCTGAAATGAAAGGAGACAGTGGAAGACTGAATGACTAAAAGCAATGCCAAGGGTCCAAAGGCAAAAGTTAATTTGGGGCTGAGAGTCTCACCTTTGTTGCCTATAGTGGGATTGCTGAATGAAGGGGGGAGAACTGTAGCTCCTCTAAAAGCTCTTTCCAGGTGGTTGTGCTGTTTGGCTAGCTGCTCTATTGTCTCTTCCAGTCGTATCCTCTGGTCTCTTTCAGTCTGCAAGGCCTTCTGCCAGCGCTTACTGTGGCTCTGGGCCAGTGAGAGGAAGTCTCTGCATGCCTTGGGAGCATGAGGACACAACAGCAACATATCAGCGAGAGTCAACAACAATATAGTGTGTGTCAGAGATTTACACTAGGGTAACTTACATTAATCATGGCATTGGAGGTAATTCGGAACAATGTGGCCCTCTCTGTAACTTGTCTGATCTTTTCCCCCATGTCTGATCCGGCACAAATCCCCTCCAGTTCTGACAAAGACCTGTGCGTGTAGAATGAAAGAAAAAAATAAATGTACAAACAAAATACATAATCTCAGTTCTCTCCTTGGATAATATTATTTCTTTCAATGGACAATGTGAAGTTGACTTCAGACCGTTTTGAATTTTGGGTAAATGCACCATGTTTGAAGCATCATGCTCATTACCATTCATAGATATTTACACTACATACATCTATACATTAATTTAAAATAAATAAATAAACAAATACTATCCCATAAAGCTATATATAGTAGTGGATGCTTCAGCCACATCCAAATGTCCACTTTAAAGCACAGACAGGACAGCAATTGATTCATTTGCAGTGTCTGTGTCATCTGCTGACATGTGCTAGCTAGTGTTAGTTCCTGAACTGAGAGCTCATATCAGTGTGCAGTGTCATTTTTCAGTCTGTTGCTCTTATAGATGGGAACTAAAAAGGTCTGCTTAGAGTTCATTGCAGTCAGTTAAGGTTATCCATCTTGAATTACCACAGTTAGTAAAGTGAGATCTAAACAACTTAAGCAACTTTTCAGCCAAACAAAACAAGAGTGTATGCAGGTAAATACAGCATGTACTTCCAAAATGGCACCCGTCCCAACATTCAACATGGCGTGAAGTACCTTCACATTCTCTATAGTAAACGGCTCAAATAACTAATACCTTTGGAGGGCAGACCCATGTTTCACAATGAGATCATTGCAGGTGGTGAGGTCCTCCACCTTGCTGTTCAATGTACGAAGTGTGGACTGGATTTCTGCATTACGGCAGCCTCTGGCTCTTGAGGTAGGGGGCACTGAAGAACAATCGTCCCCCGAGTCATCTGAAAGCGCGGATAGGGAAGATAATATGAATAAAACAAAGCTATGTCATGTGAAAATGATTTGCAGAGAACTACTGTACATACATTTGTGTCTGGCTTAACTGCTGCTCTATAAACAACAGAAGCTTTTCATATTATGTCTAAAACAAATTCTTCTTCCCTCTCACCAGATTCAGTCTGCATGTGGGCAGCCTTTGCCTTGGCGAGCTCCAGTGCAGTGACCCATCGCTGGCGCTCTACCTCTGAGCTAGCCTTCAGGTGGTAGGTCTGAGCCCCACCATTGGAAATGACAAAATTGCATGAGTCCTCCACTACAATATTGGCTGTGGCCAAGTTGATGGTGCCTCGGCAAGTATGACCCATTTCTGCCTGGGTCCTGAAAACAAACACAATGAAGGACTGTCAAATGCAGAGTTCTAAATACCTGGTTTGTGAAGAGGAAATGCTATCAAAGGTTTTAATTTTCATATAGATGCTTGAAAATTTGCATGAATTGGTGAAAAAAAAAATAGAGCTAGTGAGTGAATTTCTATGGTAAATGTACTTAATAGGCACAAAAGCCCTGAAATCACTATTATAGATTGTGTTACTGCCTAAGAAAATCTACATTACCCACCCCATGTCACACTTTCAACACACAGTCAAGGTTAGTCACACCCTTGCGTGCCACATAGCTGCTTTAGCCTCAGGAAAACCCTGTCAATTCATATACAGTACATACAACTTGCCTGTAATAAGACAACAGTCCATTGCTCAGAACAAACCAGCGTCTCTGGTAACCTTTTATGTAGTTAGTCCATTTGAAGAGCCAACCATTGTATGTATCTCCAGGGCTTGGAATGGGAGGCTTAGGTTCTGACATCACAACAGCCTGTTGTTTCACTGGGTGAGGTTAGAGCCTGTGGCGAAAAAGTAATTCTAAATAAAATGATAAGCTTAAATTCATAAAGTCATTATACCATCCTATTATGGCACATATCCATTTATCATTAGCTATATACAAAGCATAATGGAGCCTTGGTTTGAAATAGTGTTATCAGATACTAAGCCATACTAAACTATAAATTATATAAATGTCAGCCCGCTGTTTAAGCTTTGTGAATATCCAGTTTAAACTGAAAACGTTAAACACACAACGTTAGCTAAATAGTACGCTCCAAATGTGGACTGCCGTTAGTAGAATTTAGTGTCATGAATGAACGCTGGTTCACAATTAACAAATGTTTACTAACTGTTACAGCTATGAATAAAGTAAAGCCACCAAATCCCACAAATCTAAATACAGAGCTAGCACTAAACTCTGTCCCTTGATAACCTACAGCTTGATCTCGAGCTTAAAGCAAGATCGCCACATAACAAATGGTGTTCCGCTGACAAAACCATTGATACAGTTTAGCTAAGGTCTACTGCATTTACATACAACTCTGAAAGCCTGAGACAACATAGCTCACTACCGACAGTCATGTTAACCCTCCGGTTATATCCCAGGAGTGTCACGTAAACACAGCCTGGATACTGCGAGGTACATCAAGGAAGCCGAACATTAAGGATACTTAAAAGTGTCGGTCAGTAATTGCTGCTTGCTAAACAACGGAAAGCTATCAAACAACCTGACACGTCGTAGACTGTGCTAACGATCACTTTCAACCGTGCAGCTCTCTCTCTACGGTTCTTTGTCCCAGTTTAACTGACATTATGGCGTGATCACTTACCGTTACCGTGAAAGACTTTAGCCTTCGGTGGCGTGCCTGTCGTGTTTGATAAAGCTATGTTAACTTGCTAGCCTAGTGTTAGCTTTGCTATTTACTTTGCTACAGGTTGTGCACCGAAATTACGTTCGACCAGCCCCTTCACCGTCACCTTTTGTTCCGCTGTAAACATTAAAACTGGAAATTAAACCCAAACCAGAATAAAAGACTAAATGGAAATTGTAGCTAACGTTATGTAGCGAAAAACGCCCTTCTATTCTCATACCATAAAGTTACATCGTATAAGGATAATGATTAGTTAATAATGTGAGGATGTCTTCGGTAGAATCATGTACCAGTAAAATAGTTGTTTGCGCAACATCTACGATCATTTTGAGACAAAGTAAATGTTAGCATATATTTTAACTATAACCTAATAATAACTGAGATAATCAAACATTGCCATGTTGCCTTTTGATAAACTGTTAGAAGGCTGCCACTGTCTTCTACTTGATAAAAATGTCACATTTTTTTGGACTGTAAACGTCACAGGGCTGTAGGAAGGGTAAAGCCAGCCTTATAGGTTTTCAGAAAATAATTTACACAATGTGCAATTCTGTAAAGCTGTTCATGTACATCTTTGCATTATTTGGTCATTTTAGCTGTTGTAAGCCACATTTACCCTTACAGCTAAACAAAATATATTATATTGCTACTTAAAATCAGAACCAACATGCAGTTCTCAATTTTTTGATTAATACTTGTTCTCCTTGTTTGTAACTGCTTGACCTCTTTCTTGTTTCGTGTCATATTGCATGAGCTGTCTGAAACCAAAAGGCATTCTTAATTGACCTCTTAAGTTACTCCTCACTTTGAACATTTGCAGTTGCAATCATTTTATTGAGCAGGTAACTACAACAATGAAGCATGTATGAACTAGGGCATTAAATTGCAGACATTAATTAAAACATTGTGTCTATGTATGCACAGATTATTGTAATTAAGGTAATTCACTTTCCCCCAAAACTTATTTAGTAATGGTGTTTGCATTCATACTTTTCCCACTCCCACTAAGCACAATATATGGCGTTTTCTGAGATTTCTGTTTTTCTTGAAGCAAAGCCACTGTCCCTAGTGGAGTGTCACTGCTGCTCATCTTCTTCAGCAGTGCCTCTTCCTCCAGCTTTTTCATCCTCCTCTCAGTCTTCATCTTTCCAGATCCTTTCCCATGGAATCGATGTGAAAGCTGTCTGAAAGCTTCTTTTGGAGTGAGTTTTCGCCCAGACTCATCCACGTACTCAATTTTGACATCAGGCTTGTAACTATCCTTGTCCTTGAATTCTTGTGTGAAGCCTCTGTATTCTTCTCGGCGACTGTACTTGTCATCAAAGCCCATCTTGTCCTCAATGCAGTAGTTGCCACTGGGCAGTACAGCCTTTGGTGCTTTGACGCGGGCCACCTTCTGCATTTGTGTGTCTAACAGACCTTTGTTTTTGCACAACAGCAAGGCTGCAGCGAGGCCAGAGTTGACAATGGGCTCTTCATCCAAAATGGTGGCTGAGGCTGTGGAGAAGTCAGGTTGTTTCTGCTCTTCATCCAAGTTAACTGTGCTCCATCCAATGTTCTCATCCATTTCTGAGTCTGAATCTCCAGCATCATCTTTCTCATCCTCTCGTTCAAAGTCCATAATGTCTTCTTGGTCCTCCCTGTTGCCTGACAGTCCATAGGTTGGAATATCACCTAGAGTTCTGCAAAACTCTGAAGTTGCATTGAAAACAATGTTGCTCCTCCTCTCAGGATCACTGTCACTGTTACCTTTAACGACAACTTTAACCTGCTCTGCCACTTTCTCTGCAGAATCTTTGAGAAGTTGCTTTTGCTTCAACTTCCTCTGCTTCTCCAGTTGTTTCTGCAGCTCCTGCTCTGCCTCATCCTCCTCAATTACAGCTGGCTCAATGGGTATGAAGCCTTCATCATCACTTATGTCCATTTCTGCCATCCTGATGTCATCAGACATTTGGGGGTCTTTGTGTGGCAGTCTGCTGTCCTCCTCCTTTACTTCCTCATCATTGTCATTCACTTGCCTGCGGCCCCGACCACGTGTCCTGGAGCCAAAATCAGAGCTGCGAGTGTCATCGAGGAGAAGTTCATCTGCAGTATTCTGCTTCTCCTTCTTCCTGATCGTCTTCACTCGGCGTTTTGTCTTTTTAAAGTTCACCATTTCCTTAGGACTGTAATACTCTGAGGCGATAGTGAGAGCAGGCATTTCCAAGGACTGGGCCTGACTTCGTAGAGTCTCTCTCATGGCCTGGAGCTCCCGCTCTCTCTCCCCATCAGCAAAGCCCCCTGTATTCAACCGGAAGCTCTTTTTCTTTTCGCCCTCAATTTCCTCATCATACTTTGACAGTACAGAATGGGGCTTAAACATAACCATGTCATCAACGCTCTCTTCCTCTGCATAGGGCTTGTAATCTGGCTTTTTCTTTCTCAGCTCCACATTTTTTTCAGCTTTTTCCTTGTCAACCAACCCCACATTTACAAGCACATCTTCCTCCTCCTCAAGTACACCTTTGTCTTGTAGTGTAAGAATGACAGTGTCACCCTCACTGAAGGATTCCACTTCATGCTGCACTTTGAGTCCCTTAAGATCACAAGATGTGTAGGGATCCTTTTTACTTTGTGCAAACTCCTCCTCTACAAGACTGCTCACACCAAACTCCTCATCCATCTCTTCCAGAAGTTTAGCTCTTTTCTCTGCCATTTCTTTTTCTTTTGCCATCTTCCTGCTTCTCTCCACCCAAGCAGCTGTGTCATCTAGCCAGTCGTCCTCAGCTAGGCTCTTGACTTTTCCCAATTTCTGGTTCAGGAGGCGTTTTTCTTTCATAGCAGCAAGCTTCTCTCTCATCTCTTTCTGCTGCTGGATGACAACGGGGTTGATGATCTCAGCCACAAGTGGCTCTTCTTTGGTCCCAAGTTCTTTCTTGTTCTCATTTAATTCGAGAGGCTTCAGACCCAGCTTCGCCCTGAGTTTGTTTGTCTCCTCAATGCTGAGAGATGCATCTCCGCTTGCTGACTGAGGTTCCACTTCTGTATTGCCCTCCTCATATCCATGATCAACTTTCTCCTTTTTCACTCGTGGCTCCCCGGTGCCCCTTTCACCTTTGCTACGGCTCTCCCGTCCACTTCGTTCCCTGGACCTGGAGCGCTTTCGTTTGTCTTTATCCCGAGTCCCATCCCGACCCGAAGCATCTCTGTCTCGCTCCTTATGGCGATGTTTCTTGTGTTCGCGACGGCGCTCTTCTGTGTCCTTGTCGCGGCTCTTTTCCTTATGTTTCTTTGATGAACCCATTATTTCCTCTGCTGATTACAACGGCGTAAACTAAAAAAAAAAAATCCAATAAAGTTAGATATACTTGTGTATATGGACTCTTTGATGGGATTAGTGGAAAAAAATATGGTTAGCTTTCCGCTGCTAACTAGCTCACGTTAGCTTTGAAAGCTTAGTGGCTAGCCGACAAAACAACTACGTTGTAGCGGAAGCAAAAAAAGAAATCTTACGTTCGAGATCCAAAAACAATTCGATGCCAAATGAAGAAGGATAAATACCAACCTATTTGTTTTCTTCAAGGCAGTTTAACCACACTAATCCACGCTTAACTACACAAGTTATATCCTTGAACGAACGGGGAACGTAAGTATAACTATTTCCTGGAAATACATTTCCGATGGTCGTGCCTCTAAGCAACTGTATACCGCCACCTGTTGTATGGGCGTGTTACAAAGTGTAGAGCAGGCCAGGATCACATCCGTGAGTCGCTGCGTTTTGGGACAGTAATACGTTAATATTCATCAAATGACTTAATACAGATTCAGAGAGAATTTATAAAACCTCTACTGCAATACATCACGTGCTGCGTAACGATAATTCCTTCGATTTGACTCCGAATGGTAATTATCAAGCTACGTTTTCTATTTCTAACGTTAAATTAACGATAACTTAGCTAGCTAGAGTAACCTTAACTACTTTACATTAATATGACCAAAAACCTGATTTTTGTCAATCTGCTGCGTTTGCCGTTAGCTAGCTACTATTAGTGTTAGTTAGTCCAGGCTATTTGCAAACCCTAGTGTAGTACAATAACAAAATATGTTCTTAGCTTGAAGTTTTGCTTTGTTAACGCGAACTGAGATGTTTGCTTCAACTTTTACAGACATTTAAAGACAGTTCCATGGTGAGCAGCTGTTAGCAAGCTATATAACAATAGTCAGCTATTTCAGCAAACTCGGCAGCTCGTTAGCGTCACTTTTTATGGTACGTTTTGTCCAAACGTTACACAAAAATGCTTGTGGTTTTCTATCGATAGAGCCAAAGTAACAATTAGGGGATTCGCTAACATTAGTGCAGATCAGGGTCATTGTGTGTTGCCATGGCAATTGTGGGACTAGTGTTAAGGTACAAATGTTAATGTTGTACACGGAGAAACAAACTGCGTAGATGGCATTTTAATATTTGTTTAAGCTAACTACAGGGGTTACAAAGGTTCAGCCTAACGTTAGATTTCGACACAGGGCCGTCGTATGTCCCTGCGGGAAGTGGTGACAGAAAGCTCGCGCTAACTCGCTGCTGGTGGAGGGAAACCGAGCGGGCCACGCACACAAAACCCAACGGCAGCTAACGTTAACGTACAGCTCAGTCGACGTAACGTAAATTGCAGATGCTTTCAAGCTGGTCGTAACTGGAGCGTTAATGTTAGCTGCTGTTGGTAAGAAATGACACATTTGATGTTTTTGTGTAGCGTCAACTGTTACTTGTACCAGTTAACATCGACTGTGTTCATAACATATGTGAGCAGTACCTCTGAATATTAGCTAATTACTGTTATCCAGGTAACCAACGGCATTAGGTTAATAATTAAATGTCGAGTCAGATGTTGTTTTAAGATACTAACGTTAGATTAACGTTGCGGTGACAGTGACAGCTATTAACAATATTCCAGAATGTTGCGTGTCTGCCAGAAATGCACAAGTTGTCTTTTGTCTTGCTTGTTTGAACGTGAGCATGTATGGTATAACGTTAGCTTGCCTGTTCTGTGGTGTTTGTGTGGTGGCTACTGTAGACTTTGTTGTGAATTCCAACAAGCAGCAAGTGGAAGGCATGGCAACTGGAGGCGCACCTTTTGATGACAGTGGAGAAGAGCTGCACAACTGGACTGTAGCCAATGGCAGTCTGGAGGATAGACTCAACAACATGGTAAGGGCTTGTCAGGACCTGACAGAAACTATAGACATGGCTCGTCTCATTTTCACATAATGTTACAGTGGAGGGGCTTCTCAGTACTTTATGATTTTGTTATACAGCCAAATTCATCAGAATTTCTTAAATTCAAACTGTAAAATACACATTTCTCTGTATAATTTATCTCATTGTCTTGACACTATGATGCCATCCTGATTCATTGGTATGTTTGATATGCCCAGTATACACTTTGTATCTGTAAAACGAATATGCATAATATTAAAAATGAAAATATTTCTGCCATTCATGAGGACTGGGGTGTACAGCAGAAGAAAGCCAACCGATCCTCAGAGAAGAACAAGAAGAAGCTGTCATCTGTGGTGGCGGAGAGCCGCCTGACTAATGACATTTCACCAGAGTCCACCCCTGGGGCTGGTCGCAGGAGAGCACGTACTCCTCATTCTTTTCCACACATCAAATACTCCACTCAAATGTCTGTTCCAGACCAGGCTGAGCTAGATAAACTGCGTCAGAGGATCAATTTCACTGACCTGGATGAGGTAAAAGGCTGCTGTACTCTGTTAGATATACCCTTTGTTTATCATGGTCAATAAGCTGTTGCTTGTAGTGATTTATTAGCTGTGTTGTGGTTAAAATGTTTGTGTTGACTGGCGCCACTGCTGATTTCTGATTCATTTACAATAAGACAATACGTAATTAAAAATATAACATTAGCATGTGATTGTATGAGATTTTAAATTAGAAAGCCACCCTACAGAGGTTTGGACTCCTAAAAGCACTGTTGGATGCTTGTGATGAACAGGTCATTGAATGTATTTTACCACCATATGTCTTATGACACACATGCATACCACAAGCAGATGAGTGCATTGAAAGTAGTTTTTTGCCTACTGCAGATGTCCATGCCTGTCAAGGCTTAGGTTTTACAATAGGTTTTTCTTTGTAGCATCTCAAGGACATGAAATGAACATTCTTAATGATTATGACATTGTCAGACAAAACAAAATGTAGTTTTGGTCAGTGAATAAGTGCCAGTACACTACTGTTATGGGCCGACAGGCAGTAGAGTAAGTGAGAATATAGGAAAGTATAGGAGATTTTTTTTTATTATTTTATTTTATTTTTTTATAGCTGTGTATGAAATTGTTTGGTTGACTTTGTTCTGTTGCAGTGCTGAGGGTGGCTGAATGGCACAGTAGTGCACAAAAATGGGAGAAGAAGGTGTAAACCTAGAATGGAGAAGGCAGAACAACAGAGTCGAAATGTGTAAATATTTGTACATCTCTTCTTTGGTGGACAAAGCTGGAGGATTTGTATCAGTGCAGTAGGGGCATTGTTTTTAATAGGATAAGAAATCATGTTTGGATGCTCACGGCACAGGTATCTATAATGGCTCATTTGGTTGTAGAGGGTGTATTTTGGACAGGGGAAAAATTCCTTTTGTCTTAAAAGTGTTTGCAATTCATTGGAGCAGAAAAAGGGACACTAACAAAAACACATCTGCAAACACAACTGCATCTGCCCTGTTTAGACTTGGTATTAAAATGCATCTTGATCATGCGAACACAAGTGGACAGCAGAGGCAAATAACTGTTAAACCTGTTAATTAATACATGTCTCCAAGGTGTCCAGCTGACCATTTGTGTTCAGATTTGGCTACTGCTGCAACCCTTCCGCTTAAATATCGAATGGCCACAGGTACAATTTTTACTTCAGTCTGTTACCAGACACGTGTCAGTAGTCTCCCTATCCCAAGAAGAAGTAGAAGGCAAACATCAGATTTGAACATGGATTATTGTAAAAGCTTTCACAATACATTGATGGATTTGTATCGGACATTTCTCTGCAGTTTTTCTTTTTTTGAGCGTTGGTGCACTTTCACCAAAGCACCCACTATGTCCTGCATTGATGACATTTTCCTTGAGTGGTCTTTTTTGGGGACACATCAGGACACATTAGTGTTTAAACCACAGAAGACGTGTGGGAAAATGTGTCCCAGACTTCAGTGATCAGATCAAAATCCATCTTGGTGATAGATCACACTTGTATTTTGTGCTGTGATCAGATCACAAGTGGACAGGGTCTGTGGGTTTTTAAAGTAAAATGCCCCAAATCTTCAGTGGTGATTTGTCTGACTTGTCTCCTCTTTTCTTACTCAGAGGAGCATTGGCAGTGACTCCCAGGGGCGTGTCACAGCCGCCAACAACCAGCGCCAATTAGCTGGAGAGAGCAAGAAACCCTACAACTTCCTACCTCTGCATGTAAACACTAATAAAAGCAAGGAGCTGCTCCCTCCTTCCTCCTCTGCCCCAACTACCCCAGCCATCACCAAGGAAACCAAGAAACTGAGCCCAGGACTTAAGGATGCCTTAACCTCTGTGGGTTCTGCTAAGGAAACTCCAAGGCTTAGTCATGGTGGCACCGAGAGAGGAACCTTGGTGCACAGAGAATACGAAAGAGGAGAGACAAGAATAGACAGCAGCCAGGTAATATTTTGTCTTGTTCTTACTATGTTTTAGTCCCCTTTACATATGCATATGGCTTTGTCTATGTCTATATATCACTGCACTTGAACTGTGATACCAGAACAAGGATGAAAGTGAGGGGGAGCTAGTGCAGCTGTATTTAGGGCAGTTTATAAATACGCCGCCCTTGGTGCCCAATGAGTTTTGTGCCCATCCCCCCCACCCATGTTTAGCCCAGTCTGAGCTGCAGATGTAGTCTAGATCTACAGATGCATGCTCACCTTTCTTTACGTCTTTCCCTTTCTTCTCTTGCGCTTGTGAAACCCACACCCATACATCACCCTCCGCTCCTTTTTTACGGCCTCAGGTAGTGAGCAAACTGGTACAGATCCGGGAGTACATCAGTAAGGCCAGCTCCATGCGAGATGACCTGGTGGAGAAGAATGATGTTCCAGCCAACGTGGAGCGTCTTTCTCATCTCATCGACCACCTCAAGGAGCAGGAGAAAACCTATTTACGGCTTCTGCAGAAAATGCTGGTACATTTGATAACTGTTTTTCTAGCTTCACCCTTATCTTTTTATAGATCTACTTTGTGCTATTAGACAAAGCTATCTCATTTTCAGACAAATGTGTCGCATGTAAAGGATATATTTGGCTCTATTTCAGCTGTGAATTAGCTGAAATGGAACCTATTTGTACTCTTAGCTTGGCAACCTGCCACACATATTTTAATTTTTGGTTTTCTCTGTGGCCTCAAACACTGCAACAGTGGAGTGATGTGATGATAAAATTGGAACATAGCATGCCACCTTTTCTGTGGAATTGTTTTTTTCTGACCATTGTACTTTGATCAAAGCATGCCTCTGAAATATATGGTAGTATTTTCAAGAAACATACTTTTTTCTTTTGTATTCCCACAATTTTGATCAGCTGATGCATGTAGGCATTTCCTTGTAGTGCACATGTGTCAAACTCAAGGCCCGCGGGCCACATCTGGCCCGCTAGATCATTTTATACACCTTTTTTTTTTTTTTTAATGACCCTGCAATATGAAGCACTGAGAACACACAAACTACAAATCCCATAATGCAGCACAACAACTGCCTTACCGAACGATAGGCTACCTGGGATCATTCCCGTGTCAATTACATCAGATCAATCAAGCGTCTGTTGATGTATACAACCCTAATTTCAAGTCAAAGCTAGCCCCTAACAATGGCCAAGAGAAAGGTTGATTCTGAACGTTTTCACCAAAGCGAAATCACACCGTGAAGCTGCTGTGAAAGCAAGTTTTTTTGTGGCGGAGGAGATAGCCAAATCAGCCTGGCTATTTACCGAGGGAGAGTTTCTGAAGAGCATGATGGAAGTGTGTGACATCTAGTGTCCAGACAAAAAGCAGGTGTTTGCAAATGTAAGCCTTAGCAGAAATACGGTTGCTGATTTTAAGTTCAAGTTTATTTATTTTAGATCTGAATATTGTATCCTGTCTGTTTTGATTCATATTTATGTTCAAAAAATGTTTAGTTTTAGTCTGTTCAATAAATGTTTATTCTGTTCGGCCCACGACCTAAAGTGTGCTTTGAGTTTTGGCCCCATGTGCAATTGAGTTTGACACCCCTGTTGTAGTGTATGTAATTTGAATCATCTTCATTGTATGCTTTCCTGTTCTGCTATCTTTTAGTCACTTGCTGTTCCCTCTTATATCCATAGGCGCAGGAGAATGAGGATGATGATGTGGGGACACTGGATTCTGCAATGGGCTCAGTTTCACTGGCAGAGAGCACTTCTCTTAACATTGAGGTTCGCTCCTCAGATACATCACATGCAATGGTGTGTACATTTGTTGTGTATTGTTTGTGAAAATCTTCCACTTTTTACCCATGTTAGTATTCTGTTTCATTATTCACTGTCAGTAATATTGGTGTTGGGTGACTATGTTGTCTTTGAAATATGACATCAGGAAATACAAATGAAGCAATTTGTTCCTCCTTTGCCTTTATCATTATTTATTAGTCTTAGAGGATTTGCTGTGTGAGCACTTGAAAATCCCTTTTCCTGGTGAGTAGCAGTACAGAGTTGCTGTGGTGGAGTTTGGTAGCCTTTGTAATATGTATGTGTGTCGGTGAATTTTTTAGAGCGGTAGGCCAGAGGCTGTGCGGGCTGACCAGAAGGAAGAGTTGGAGAATCTGCGTAAGCAGCACGAGCTGCTAAAGAAGATGCTGGAGCAGCAGGAGCAGCTCAGGGCCCTGCAGGGCCAACAGGAGGCACTAATGGCCATGCAACATAGTGCAGAACAGGCACTTGCTGTGATTGAAGACAATGGTGAGACATAAATGCCAACAGTCACAGACATATTTACAGCTAAGTGCAGACCAGTAGTTGTGTTGAGAATGGCCATTAACCACATTGTGTAGCAGTTTCTTTTCTTATTGTCTTGCTATTATTTTAACTTTCTATCACTGGATTGACATTTAATGATGTATAACAACTAAATATTATTGTTTAATTCCTTTGGGATTTGTTGATGTCAGTAGTTGTCACAGAAACCACAGGCAGCGTGTCAGGCCTGAGCATCACATCAGAACTGAATGATGAGTTGAATGATTTGATCCAGCGCTTTCACAACCAGCTGCATGACTCTCAGGTACAGTAGATGCTGCAACTGGGCTGCCATGTTCTCCTTAAAATGCCATCTAGAAATATTTCCTGTAGTGAACTACAATTATTAATAACAAGTACTTTTAGCATTTTTACATTATATCAGTGTCAGTATGTCAAGCTATTTATTTTTTACTATTTGATGCAAATTACTAATCTGTAATTTTGGCATGAACTGCCTTAGCATGTTGCTCATTTAATAAGCCATGTCAACAAAGAAATGTATATAACTGTTTAATGTAATAAGAAAGTTGTACTTCAAGACTGTGTTTGTTTGTCAGACCAAAGCAGTGCCTGACAACCGTCGTCAGGCAGAGAGTCTTTCCCTCTCCAGAGAGGTGGGCTGGTCTAGAGCTCACCAGCCTGTTGGTCCACCTCAGCACAGGCCTCTCCTTCACTCTGCCTCTGGTCCTCACACTGGGCTAGACACTGGAGCAACAGCTGCCAGTGTCAAACTCACCAAGCTCCAAGAACTCCATGACAAAAAGCAAACCATGGACAAGATACTGCAGGAGCTGCATTCACTCAGAGACCAGACTCTCAATAATAATGCATGTAAGTTTATTTCCAGAAGTGTGTTTTTTGCAGTTTTATGGCTTCTTTTCCTGTAACGTGTTAATGAAGTGCATGTGGTTCCCTTCAGCTCGTGGCTTGTCAACACAGTGCAGTCTGAGTATGGGTGGATCTTCAGATTGTCCATCTGCTTTTTGCTCTAATGGTGCCTCAGTTTCCACTTCTTTTCGTCCTTCAGTCACCCAACATCAAGATAGCTCCAACACCCCAGACAGACTCAGGTACACACAACAACACACACAGCTTCAAGCAGGTGAGATTTCAACAGCAGGATGGGGGTGGTGTAACTTAAGGTGGTGTAGTATAACCTTATAACCACGAAACCTACTATATGCTTAAATTGTTCTTGAACAAGACACTCTGCCTCCACTATTTATAGGGGTGCTTTTCTGTTGGTGACTCTGTATCGTTAGTACGGGGGGCGTCTCACATAACCTTTAAATTATTAAGCCTGGTATACTTTTGCATTCCATTCACTCATTTGTTGTTGATTGCTACTCCCTACAGGAAGCTAAAGGAGGTCCACAAGCGGTTGAATGAACTGCGAGAACTGGTTCAGTACTATGAGCAGACTTCTGATATGATGGTGGATGCAGTCAATGAGAATGTGAAAGATGAGGAGGAAGAAGAAGAGGAGGAGGAAGATGAGACAGAGAATAGTTCTATGTTTGACTCTGAGCAGGAGAACCGCCAGCCTGTAACTAATATCAGGTTAGTGTTTAGATAGATAGTAAAATCAAGGAACTTTTTTACACAGTTTTTGCAGAGTAGACTTCTGTCAGGAGGATAATCAACAGATTCAACAGCTTGTGTTAAAATGGCTAGATTATACTGAAACACTGCCAGCCTGTCATTGGCTTCAAGTTAAAGTATAATGGCATCTAGCATTAGATCATGATGTGTGTGTAATTCTGCTACTGGCATGTATCCATAACAGTCAAATCCTTGATTCTGTTAGAAACCCACAACGCAGTGGAAACTGGACAGACTTGAACAGCCTGACCAACGGGCGCAGTGTCAGGAGTAGCACCACTAACAACCGGGATGGCAGACTCAACACTGAATGCGAGATAAACAACCGGTCAGCAGCCAACCTTCGCAGCCTCAACATTCCCTCAGCCATAGGTACTCTCATGCACACACTGACACAGACCAGTGCGCCACCTTTCATTAACACTCCTCTTGGGTTTTCATACTGTCATCACTTTATTTCCTGTAAAATAAATTTTAGTTAAGAAAGCAAATAAAAGATTTGATCATAAAAATCTTACTAAAAGTAACATAGTCAAATTTGTAGGGTTAGGGTTATTTGTTTGTCATGCATAGTAAGTGCCTTAGTGTATTTTAAATAAATGGGATTGTTGATTGTCAGTGTTGGACTTCTAACATTCTCTCCATTCAGTTTATGTTGGTATAGGCACAGCACAATGGTGCAGAGATACATTGTTTCATACTGTGCAGTGGTACATTGTATTATGATCATTGTTTATAGTCATGGTTGTCACCAACCAGGACAGCCACCTTCATGAAGACACCTGCAATAAAAATCTAAATATAATATAAATTATATCATGGTATTTTTATTTATGGAAAAAGTGAATCTGATTTCAGAGGGGGTAAGCACACATTTTTAAATATGATTTTACAGAGTAACAATATGTAAACAATATTTCTGTTTTTACTCCTATTTAGAATGCCAGTACAACAGGGACACACCATATAATCAGATGAAAGATGAGGATGAAGATGAGGGCTGTATTGATAATGAAGAACGGGCTCATGCTGTGGCTCCAGACAGTGAGGCATCGGGGTCTAGTCGCAGGAGCAGTCTGGGGAACGATGGAAGTTTTGCCCGGACAGGTCATCGACAGACAGCAAAGCAGAAACTACGTCAGCTGCAGGAACTAGCAGCCATGGTTCAGGTGTGGCAGATAACTGAATAATATTTTAGACACTGGTGTGTAGGTGTTGGCAGAATGGAAGAAAGTGTTGTTAAAGCTCCTATGTGTAGGATCTGAAAGTTCCTACTGTTTTTCCTCCTGTTAGTACTATCAAATGAAACACTGGATTCAGTATCTCATTAAACTTGAAATGTTGCATCTTGTGCAGCATGTCAAGTTCAGTGTTAATAAGAAGTGTTTTAAAATCAGTTCTAGGGTGAGGTTTTCTTTTATTACTTAATTTGGTTCTTAAGTCTTTGCATTGAGAATAACTTTTTTTGAATGGCACTCATTTTTCTGGAGCAGAGTTATTGGACACGCATTTAATAAACAACATTTAAAATGTGTGGTTTTGCCTGTATCCAGAGTGACGACACAGATGGCACAACAGTTAATGAAGATGAAGCTTTACACCAACAGCCAAATAATACCAGAGCTACTGCAGCTAGGTCATTGGGAGCTGGATCTAAACAGAATCCCAGAGACCTTGCTCTTTCCAGCAAGGCCAGGTACAGCATATGATAGATCTCATGAGCCTGTCTGAAAGTCTATATGGCTGTTCCAAAATATTCTGAATATATCCTGTTTTATTTTTTGTCTTTGACCTTGGTTAATTGGAATTGCATTAAAACTGTTTTGTACACAGAGAGAAGCTGTATGAGGAGAAGCTTCTACAGCAGAAGCAGGAGCTGAAGCAGCTCCGTGAAGAGCGCCAGAGGCTCATTGAAATCCAAGGCAAGATCCAGGACCTCCAGTGGGCTTGCCCCGACCTCCAGGTATTTTACACACATAGGTTTCCTGTCTTATTGCAATAAAACACAAAACTAAACTTTTTGATAAGCAGTGGAAGTGAGCAGAATAGAAAGAAGACTCTTGTTTACCTTGTTAGCATGAGTATTCACTGTCAAATTTAACACACCATGACATGTCATTCATTTTTGTTAGTACTGGATCTTAAACAGTTTTTGTGTGTGTGTGTGTGTGTGTGTGTGTGTGTGTGTGTGTGTGTGTATTTATCAGTGCTGACACACTGGTGGAAGAATTGGTGCTAAGGTAGATTAGGCTACATTAGCAACATGGCTAACCAAAACACAATGGAAACTTCTGGACTGTAAATGTGAATGAAACCACACATTGATTCATCACAACGTAGCCATATTGTACATGCCTACAACATTCCCCTTGCAGTCCCTCACCCCTCGACCCGCGCAGCCTTGCGTTAAACACAGCACAGTGTTGCATTTTTACTGAATCAGTCTGAATGCTTGCTTAGGCTGCATGAGTTTTGACTAGGAGTGCCTAATAAGTTAGCAAGTAAGTGTAAAGCTGCTGTTTCTTTAAAGGGTTACATCATTGTAATAAAAATATACTTTTTATCTCTTTCTGTCTCTGTTCTAGTCATCTGTGTCCAGTATGGCGAGTCAGCAGGGTTTGCTGAGGAAGGTCCCAACAGCAGTTCCCACTGTGGCCGCTGTGCAAGTTTCTTCATCCTCTGGACCAAAAACCAACTCAGCTGTGCTCAAAGCCACTGCTCCGGAAGCAGCTACGTCTTCAGTCACTGACAATGAGGTAAGACCCTCAGCTACCACTAGACAAATGTCAGAATGTGATCACTGTTTTCAGAAAAGTACAGATGTGTTAACTGATCCCCTTTCTTCTTGCACTGTCAGCAGCTTTGGTCAGAGATGCGCCGCCACCAGATCCTGCGAGAAGAACTACGCCAACGTAGGAAGCACTTGGAGTCCTTGATGGCTGAACATCAGAGGCGTAATGGTCTCACTGACTCTCGCCACTTGCTTGAGGACCACGATGGCCTTGCTACACCCTCACAACCTGTCAGGAGGGATGAAAGGTAAAACACATTGCTCCAGGGGCCTGCCTCATGAAGGTCAATGTTAGAAAGTGGTTAGCTTTAGTAGTATGTTTTTACCAGTAAGTAGAGGAATTAAAACAAACGAATATTGCACAACTGGCTAAATTTTGTGCCATTTTGCTGATGTGTCATTAGGACAACAGCTACCTGGTGTTCCAGTCCTTGCCACATTGATGACGATGATGAGGATGAATATCACTCAGAGATGGGTGCAGAGGTGGAAGAGGACCAGGAAGAAGATGCTGAGAGCAGCTCAGATGACATTCACATTTATCCATTGAGCAGAAACCAGTCCTCTTACAATAACAGAAATAATCATGGAAGGTCAGACTAAGATGAGGCAGAAGAAATTGTGTCACTATCCAGTACATCCACAATCTATTAAGATCATGTGCTTACTTTTTTGTGTCTGCAGCAACCTGAAGCCCCCACCAGCCTTCTCAGGTGAGGATAGTGGGCATCTTCATAACAAGACCAAGGTTGAACAGCAGCAGCAACTGTCCAGAAGTTTGAACCAGTGTGCAAGCCAGCATGGAGGTACACGCCGCCAAGAAAACCTGCGCTGGGCTTCAGAGCTCTCCTGTGCTGAGGGCTCACTTCACTGGGAAGAGCAGGTCAGCCAGCTGCAGAGACAGCTGGACTTCAGCACCAGCATGTGTCAGACACTCCTTCAGGACCAGCAGGTTAATGCACACAACAAATACACGGATAGACACAGAATGACCTTCATAACAGCTTTCTGTCCCATCTTTAGTTTTGTGCCTTGTACATCTGTCTGTTGTCTCTCACCTCTTTCCACAGACACTTTCATACATGTTGCAAACCCTGCTGACAGGTCAGTACAGCGTGTTACCCAACAACCTGTCATCACCACAGGTCCACCTGATCATGCATCAGCTCAACCAGTGTTACACCCAGCTGGCATGGCAGCAGAACAATGTACAAAGGTGAAAGCACTGGTGTGCATTAGTGCTCCCTCTTATTTATGTCAAATGATAAATCTTTTAAAGGTTCTACATTCTGTCATACTTTTCCTCCAGACTAAAGCAGGTTCTGAATGACCTCCTTCGCCAGCAGCAACAGCTCTCCTCTTCAACAACAGGTTGGCAAACACAGAAGCAGAGTTTATCCCAAGAATCCAGTTCGGCTCCCTGCGCCTCTCCTGGTGTCTTCCTCCCTTTCACCTCTACTCTGCATCCTTCAACCAACATGTCGACTGCTGACTTGTCCCCATTCCCTCCAAGTATAACATGCATATTTATTAGCTCTTGGGTTTAATTTTCACACCAATTGTGTTTACAATGGTATGCATTAAATGCAATAGGCAGAGTAAACATCTCAGTGGGGCTCAAAAAGACAGTTTACAGTGATGTATGTATAAGCATGACCTCAAATAGGTCATTGCATTAAAAAAAATCTTGGCAGTTTGTCTTTGGAGTAAAAGAATATGACAGTTCAACAAATTAGATAAAAAAAAATATGGATTTTTTTCCCCCTTCATGGATTTCATGTGCACTGGCTGCACAGTGTTGCTATTATTACGGGTATGATTACTCATTTTCAGTTAGGTATTTGGGAATTTGAATAAATAGTATATTTTAAAGTGACTCAGTTCTGCAGAAATTAAAGGCCAGAAGGCCTATTACTTTCATAATGTAATTGCTTTTTGGACCATTAACACACCAACTTAAGCTAATTAAGTCTTTTTTTCCTTTCTCACTCACTCCTCAGGCTTTAACTTGTATCCACTGTTCCCTGCTGCCACGAGTGAGTTCCCTCAGGGTGCAGCAGGGCAGGCTGCTTCTGACCATCAGAAGCAGAAGTTAGATCCCAACACTTCTTTCAAAACGGAGTACATGAGTTTCCCTCCTCCACTGCAGCGCTCTCCTCTTAACACCACTACAGAAAGAGAGTATGTCCATCATTGTTACTCAAAAAGACATTAGTATTTATTTTTGTAATATTGTTCATACAGTATGTTTATTTTTCATGTAACCTCTACAGACCAGGCCCCTGGCTGAACACCTCCTATGCAAACAACACAATCAAGCATCATTTGTCTAAAATGGAGCCCCAAGAGTTGCCATCCTCCTCTCCTCTTACCAACCGCCACTCACGACCTCAAGACTTTGACCAGGCATCACAAGAAAGTTTAAGCAGCATGCCTAGTCCTGGTGATCCCACCACCATTACAAAGACTTTCAAGGCAGGACACAAGGCCTCTGCCCAATCCAATCTGGCCTCCCGAAGCAAGATGCCCAATTCTAAGAATCGTCGCAGGAGGACCAAAGTACACAGTAAGAACAGTAAAGTTATTAAAGTGGAACTGACAATCCTCTGAATGTCTAATCAAAATGCTGTAAACATTTCACATTGCTCAAAGTTATCCTTTTAGACTAGTATAAGTTTTATTTATGTTTACAGTTAAAGGATGCGGTTGGTATTAATAGTATTTTCAACAATCCCCATACAGAGACTAAAACCAACAAACCGTTGTTTCTACTCACAGTAAAGTCTCCAGCCTGGATTAGCTTGTTCTTCTGTGCCATAGAGCTCCATAACTGTTCAAAAACAATAAAGAAAATGACTGACCTCATCTTTTAACTGCAGTAGTTATTCATAACCAGTTCCACATGTAGTGTTTTTTTTTTAACAATAATAGACCTTGATTTCTTTTAGCTTTGTGATCAAAAGGATCTTTCTTTCCTATCTACTGTGTGTCTATTTGTTTGTCTGGTTGGGATACAAGGATACATAAAGTTGACTTGAACTGAAAAAATTGGTTGCACTGGGTTGTAAAGGTGTTGAATTTTGCCGCCCTTCCCTGTATTTCTTAACCAAATTGGCAAATAATTAATGAATGAAGTCTCATTAGTGTTTGTTTTTCTTTGTGTGTGTGTGTGTGTGTGTGTGTGTGTGTGTGTGTGTGTGTGTGTGTGTGTGTGTTTTCCTCAGGACATGAGAGTGACAGTGTTAGCAGCACTGCAGACTTTGCCCAGGAGAGGGCAGGCCCGTCTCGCCAGAAGGACCAGAATCAGAGTCTGTTGGACAAGCTTACTCAAGAGAAACTAGATGACAAATCTAAGTTTGGGAATAAAAGAAATGATCTTTCATCTGGTATGGCTAGAACTACTTGCTGTGAAAATTATGCACCCACCCTCACCCCTCTTGTGTCTGTATCTTGTTTTTCTTTGTATACATGTAATATCTGCATTAGGCTGTCTTTGCATTAGAATTTTTTTTTTGTCATAACATTGTTCCTTTTTTTAAATATATAACTTTAGTTTAGTTTTCTTGCACATTTTTCACTACCACGTGTTTAATTTGGGGTTAATTTATGTTATCACTTTAATTTATCCTACTCACAGCCTATGCTTGGAGAACACCCTTCCTCTCTAACAGAATTGCATGCACAGAAGCACCAGGTAAACTCACCATGCAAATCCAGGCATCATTTGTCTATTAGGTCACCTAAACATCCCACGTATGTTCAGTTTTTGGCTCAGTATAACCAGGAGTTTCTCGGATTGAGGGCAGACTGTTGTTTTCATTCATGAATGAGAGTTTGCAAGTGTCCACCCAGACCTCATTCTGTCTTGATCCTTGATCCTGCAGATGCAAGCAGTGACTTCTCACTGTTTGAGGCGCTGAGGGAGACCATTTACTCTGAGGTGGCTACCTTGATATCTCAGAATGAGTCCCGTCCCCATTTTCTCATTGAGCTCTTCCATGAGCTGCAGCTGCTTAACACAGACTATTTACGGCAGAGGGCACTGTATTCCCTACAGGTAAGTGGAGTTGCATTTAGTGATAGTCTATGCCTGTTGAATCTAATGTGGATATAGTATTAGGGGTGTAATGATCTGGATTGATACATTGATCATAACTTGATGTTATCGATGCGCATTATAAAGATGTACATGTTAGACGTACCTTTATTTTGAGACTCAGCCAGTCACATCCGTATGCTTTTTCATTGAAGTACTGTTCTTTTAAATCTGGACAACAAGCCCAATGCAGAGCAGCTAGTATTCTGACCGGGAATTCACACTAAAAGTCAAACTTGAGCAGCGCATAAGCTACTGAAGCGCTTCACTCACTCAATCTACAATGACTCTGAACACAGCGTTGCTGTCATCAGAACGGCCGTCTGTCAGCAGGTTAGCCACATCTCGTGCATGTCTGAGTCACTGCGGACTGACACATTTCATAGATTGGAGTTCTATCTGTTGCATGAGAGGGACGAGCAACAAAACACTTTATCTATGAACTGGCCTTGACCTGTAATGACCAAGAAAAATGCACAGAGTAAACTCTTCCATCCTAAACAAGTTGTGGATATGGAAGTATTTTGGGTTAAAAAGGGCACACACAATAATAAGTGTGATTGTCAAGTTTTAAACAAAACAAAAATTTCTGCTTTTTTGTGATGATGTAAATGCTTCCAATCTCAAGTCAAAGTTTGTGTTGAATTGGCAGATCATTGTGGGTCCTTATTTGTATTTAAATAGCACTTGAAAGTGAACAGACGAACTCAATAAAATGCTAAAATTGCATTTGTGAGTCAATAAAAATGTAATTGTGTAAAATAGGCACATAGTAAAAGTTGATGTTGATTGCAGGCCGCATAATTGAATCACATCAAAATTGCATCATTGCATATTTTGGCGTATTGGCAAATATTGGCTTGCTGGATCAATATACGATCATATTATGATGAAACTGGAGATTTACAGCCATGTACGGTATATCCTTCATGCTGGGTTCAGATTACAAGATACTCAGGCTGATTGATCTGTCCCTAAACAGAATATGGAGCAAGTTCTTGTCTCGTTTCTATTTGGCACAGAATGTCTGATAATGTGACTGGTTACAGATAGAATTTTGATCTTCCAAAATATTCCCAATGGTACTGTCTCAGTTATATAAAACCTTATCATTTGGAGGGTCATATTTGAAAGGGTCTGGAACTAAACTCTACCAGTCAAAAGTATTGACACACTTTGGAAAATGTCCAAACGTGACTGGTAGTGTATTTGCTTTGTGGGCAGACCAGACCTGCAGGAGACGATGAGGCAGCTGGGAGGAGGAAAAAGAGTTTTCAGTCATGAGGATGCTGGAGACCTTGGGCTTTAAGAACTATTGTAGGGCAAAGGCTGGTGGAAATGTGGCCACGATATGTAAAGATTACCACATTTTAAGTGCTATAGATAAAGAAGAGTTTGGCAGAACATACAGAGAGGGGTTGTTGCACAGTAGCACTCTTAAGAAAAACAGATCCATAATGTGCATGTGAGAGGAAATATCTAGATACTGCGTAGCTGGTATTTAAAAGATTGAGCTCTGTAATGTGGTATTATCTTCTAATAGTTTGTGTGCTTATGATGTCATCTTAAATTTCTCTTTATTGTGTGATACAGTAGCCTCTTTGGCTCTTTTTTTCTCCCAGGATATAGTGACCAGACACCTGGCAGAGAAGGGCGTGGCCGAGGACCATTTGCTTCCACTTGGTCCTGCGGCCTGGGCTGCAGGCTCTCAGTCTGAGCTGACACCCAGTGAGAGTCTGGCCACCAGTGATGCAGTAAGAGACACATTATTGTTTCCCAGTGTGGCGTTCTCACACTTTTCCCATCTGCTTTGTTCTCTTTTGTCTAAATTTCAGTGTTTTTTTTGCTTTTTCTGAAGTCTTTCTCTCAAACATTTCAATACATTGTTCATTAAATTCTCTCTGTCAAGTTTCCTTTTCATCCTTGCTTGCCTTCTCTTTTTATCTTTTTTATGTCTGTCTTTGTTCTCAGATTTTAATTTTTCCTCCGCCTCTTCATTGTCTTTGAATATAACTTGACAGCAAGGCTTCAGAACCCGGACTGTAAAAATATGACCCTCATCTCTTTTCCCAGATCAGACATGTGTTCTTTGTTCTGGGCCAAGGTCCCCAGAGTTCTGCTAATTGGGAGCCAGGCCTTTTGTCTGTCTATGTAATGGCTTTGTTGGATGAATGATGGATGAAATGTCTAATTCTCCATGTTAGGAAAATGGCGAGAGAATCTACCATAACTCTGGCTTATAGTACTGTATGTGCTGGAAATTTCACTTTTAGCTCTGTGAATGTTTTAGTGAGGTGTTGGGTTGATTTTAAAAAGAGGATCTGTGTTGAAACATCCATTCTCTTCAAGGGCTGTCACTTTCAAAAAATCACATTCATTCATTCAAATTACACCCCACCCTAAAAATAAATAAATAGTTTAGACTTGGGCATGATATTTAATTTTAAAAAAAATTAGTCAGTACCCCTCACTGCTTTGACAGCGAAATTGCAGGCGAGTATTTGCGAGTTGTTGTACTTTGAATAAGGCATTTGCATTTTTGCAGCGCAAGCAAACCTTGACATCGCTCTGGTGTCATTGTTGTCTGATCACCACAACTTTGCTTGTTACTGTCCCACATTTTGTCCTTGCAAACAATGTTCATAGCTTACTTTACTGAGAGGTCAACAGGACATGGAACTGGTCAAGATGATAGTGAATTTTAAGAACATCCTCATATGTATGTGCTTGTCTTTTTCAGGAGGTTGTAGAGAAGAATTTGAGGTTCACACAAGACATGATGAAGAAGAGGCATGATGCTGACTCTGGGGACAATGACAGCACCATGTCAACCTCCTCCAACCTGGAACCATTTGCTAATGACGACCTGGGTATAGCTGTGCATGTATTACCCATTTCACTTTGAAAAACAAATGATTAAAGCTGCCTGTATAATTTTCTGAAAAATAATTTCCCCACATTTGGTAATCAACTGAAGGGCTTTGCTTACTGTCTTTAAAGCTAATTGGGTAACCCCTCCCTAGTTTTCCCTGCAGGGCCACTAAGGGCTGCCTTGGTAAACCAACCAGTTTACACCCCAGGATCAATACCACATAGCCAAACTAAAGAATATTACCTCTTAGAAGAGGACTGTTGGGCAGTGGAAAGACCAACTTTGGGGGATGTTGGTATCATAGATAAGGAGCTGGCGTATTTTGTTTGATCCTGCAGAGTAAACCTGGTTAGAGATGCATTAATATCCATTAGTGTCTTCTCTTTTCTCTTGCTTCATTGATTTTGACCTGTTCATATCCCATTTCTGTCTCCCCTTGCTCTCCTTTCTCTGCTGCTTGCATAGGCAACACGGTGATTCATTTAGACAAAGCTCTGGCCAGGATTAGGGAGTATGAGCGCATGAAGCTTAAAGCTGAATTTAACCCCTGTAACGCCAGCACTGCAGGTGCAGGTGGCTGTGAAGTCTCAAATGCTGAACGCCTTTCTGCTAATGCTGGTGCACCAGTGGAAGGTACCTCATAACCCTGCCTGATTGCACCATGTGCAAAGACCAGTAGCAACACAGCCATTGCCTTTGACATTGCTGTTTATATTTCTGAATAAAAGTTATTTGTCTGTGAGCAGGAGGTGCAGCTGCTGATGTGCACTGTCCACAGATTGACACCCAACAGTTGGACCGTCAGATCAAAGCCATCATGACAGAAGTCATTCCCTTCCTTAAGGTGGGTTGATCGACACAGGAGGCCACAGGGTGGATTGTTATTAGTTGTGTACCAGCAGAGAATGTACTGGAATTTCCTGTATTTAGACTGAACTATCAAATACAAATTTTGTGCTTGTTAATAATGCATTCATGAAAGTTTTAGGGCTTTATTTGGTTGTAGATGTATTGGCCCAAAATTGAATGTAAAAATGATTCTTGAATTCAGGATCCAAAATGAACTTTTTGACTCCACTGGCCAGACATGTTTTTACCAGCAAAAATAATAACTTGCCTTTTTGCATCACATACCCATTTGTTTCTGGATTTCACTGAGATAATAAGGTATTATGCTGACATGTAAAGCGGCCAGAGCAAAATTTGATTAAATTCATCTTTGAATTTAAATTTCAAAGCCACAATACAACTCAGGAAGTCTTAAACTCAAAATTCTACTGAACTGTACTTCAGGGGTAAACAAAAGTAAATTTTCAGTTTTGTAAACCCACTAGATGCTTAATCATTTGAACCCGCTTAAAGCTCCTCCCAAGAATCCTCACTCTACTGCAATCACCCGCTTCCTTGCACAGTCCGTGAAGTCTGGTCTCCTGTATGTGTCAGAGTGTGGCGTATGCGCACACTTACTTTCCATGGGGACCCACCATTACTCTGCCTCTTTAATGGTAATAGTTATGGTCAGATGATTTAGACAGACCTGGACATAAGTGTCACACTGTGTTTACACCAAAAGCATTTTAGCCATGTTTTTGAGACGTGTGTGTTATTCCAGCTAACTACACTGCCTCTATTTCAGCCTGCGTATCATTCGTGCTTTAGGCGTGTATCCGTGATTTAAAGTGTATTTTTATACTTGGCTCAGAAAGCCAATCAGAGGCAGAGTAGGGGCAGGTCTTCACAGAGTAAGCATGCATGTGTGTGTGTGTGTGTGTTTGTGTCTCAAAATCCGACAGACAACAGGAGGACACCCACAGTAGAGACTCTCAGGATACTGTTTTATTACATGACTAATGTGCTACACATTTACTGGCCAGTGTGGCTGGTAGTCTTCTGAGATTTACTCACCAAATGGAAAATCTATCCACATTTGGCACCTGGCAGGTGTTAATTTCAGACCCTGCTGTATTTATGTACTTTTTTTAAAATCCAGATTAAGTGTAGGAGAGACGTAGGGGATATTATTTATTTTTTTCCATCAGTGCTGGGTACCACCCTGTCAATGTTATCAAAATGTTAAACTGCTTATATTTTCTTTAATTAGGAGAACATGGATGAAGTGTGCTCCCTCCAGCTGTTGACATCTGTGCGGCGCTTGGTCCTTACTCTCACCCAACAGAATGATGAAAGTAAGGAATTTGTCCGCTTCTTCCACAGACAGCTGGGAGGCATCCTGCAGGTATGACCGTCGTAGGATTCCTCAAACGGTGGCGACATGCATTTAAGCAGATCAAATGAAGTGTCCTGCTGAGATTTCACTCTTTTTCTCTTGTGCCAGGACTCTCTCAGTAAATTTGTGGGCCGTACTCTGAAGGACTGTGGGGAGGACCTTCTGGTGGAGATCTCAGAGATCCTCTTCAATGAACTGGCCTTCTTCAAGCTCATGCAGGATTTGGACAACAATAGCAGCATCCCTTTGGCAGCCAAGCACAAAAACAAGAAGAGGGCAGAGCAGCCCAGTAAAGCAAAGCACAATCTCAAGGTTCTTTTCCCACTCTGTATCTTTAGTATTATAATCAATTGGGGTCATTTAATTCAATGTCTGTACTAAAGTCTTAACTCTTGGTGTTAAATTATTTTAACCATTAGGAAAATACAGCAACTGCTGGTGGTAAATCAGCTTCTCCAGCCTGCTCAGATGAAGACAAGGTAAAATGATAATGAAATTGTCAATACCACTTATAACACTGGGAACTCTGTTACAAAAATGTCTGTTTTTCTTCCAGGACCAAGTTGGGGCTGAGCTGGAAGGTGGTTCTACCCTCCAGGAGCTTTACCTGCAGACGGAAACAAAGAACAGCCAGAGCAGTGAATCTTCAGAGGCCGAAGATGATGATGAAAGGGATGGACAGGGGATGCCTCTTTCTATCAGTGAGTGAATGCTTTTTTTTTTAAGGGCTTCTCTGTGATAGTTGGTGAAGAACCCACACCAAATTTAATCTGGGTGTACAACACAGCCAGGAGTCTTACATTTACTCTCATTTCCATTTTCCATGTCAGTGCATATGTTTACGTCAGTTAGGTCCTGCCTCCTGTAGATTACAGACCAGTTCCTAAAAATTGGCATCACTTAAGATGCTGCCTCTTTTCAGATTGGAACATATTTTATTTGAAAATAATTGGGGAAAAAATTGCTAATGGTTCATAATGCAAAAAAACTCAAAATAATCTACAGGGAAATAAGTGGGGCAGGAATTTAGTGACATTTTTAGTCCTGCTAAAATAGACTATTTTAACCTGTGTGTGTGTGTGTGTGTGTGTATATATACGTGCAACTGACTTAACTCCCACTTGCCACATCTCATTACTATCCTATTTGGTTCTTGCAGGTCTTTCCAAAGCAGAGACTCAGCCCCTGACAAACTATGGCAGTGGGGAGGATGAGAATGAGGAGGAGGAAATAGAGGAGTTTGAGGCTGGACCTGTAGATGTCCAAACCTCCTTACAGGTCTCTGTTGATGGACAGATGGAACAGGAGGTCAGAGCCACACAGATGTTTTCTATACGACCATGGCTCACAAAAACACCTTTCTTTTCTTAGCCTGACCTGTGTAACTGTGTCATGTTCTAGGGGACGACAGCCAGTGAACCCCAGGAGACACGACCTGAACCTAGGAGTTCAGAGAACGATGAGGGTGAGGTCTTGTTCATATTTTTGCTGAGAATTAACATTTCACTGGAGGGCCTGTATCATGAAGTGAGCTTAGTGGCTTTTCCAGTTAACTTGGGGCTTCAGTATTTCCCAGTACCATAAAGCTGGCTTAGTTCTACTTGGACTAGATCACCACAGTAGCATATGCTGCACAGGTAACCTGTTCTGGAGCAGGTTAACTTCAGAGGGTCGGATCCGCTCAAAACCTGTCAACACCCTCAGCACCAACCAATCAGATCACTGGAAAAACTGAGCCATTGTTCCTACTGGACCCTGACAGGGTCAGTGTCTATATCGGCGTGATAAGTATTAAACATATTTCTGTAGAGCAGTCTTATTATTGTGCTCTTTCAGGATTTCTAACAGAGGGAGTCGACAGCCTTCATGATGACCACCACTGTATTTTAAATGCAGACTATTTGATTATAAGCTTAATTCCGAACAGTTGTTTTTACAGGCTTCTATCACTGTAGCTCAGAATATCGTGAGGAAACTCTGTGATAAGGGTCTTTTATTAGAAAAATAATCCCTACCGTGTTGAATATTTCCCATAATTAGAAATGAACATCCGACTTGAGGTGCAACTCGTCCGTAGTGTCCTCTCTTCTCCACTCTAGTAGCAGAAACTGTTGGATTTTTGACAAATATTTCTTTGTCAGACAAAAGAGAAAAAAAACCTACTGAATAAGACCCTTAAAATAATTGTGCTAATGTACGGTATGTCTTTCCTTAATGTTTGAAATTATTTCTAGGGTTTCTATAGCTTCTTATTGTATTCTAGTTATGCAACTATTGTTTACAGTTCACCTGTCATAACATTTTTTGCTCTGGCTATAAACATTCTTCCCTGCAGATATCACCGCTCTATCTATTATCAGTGGCCTACTTCACTCATGGTGGTGTCGCTGTCCATTCTACTTAACAGCTTCGCCTCCTGCGTGTAGCCTGATAGGAAAACCCAGATTTAACAAAGCCATATGATAACCGGCTTCGTGGTACCGGTTATCCAGGATAGCCAGTATAGGACTCAGTGAAGCTAGATAACCCCTAGAGAGCCAGAATAAGCTGAAGTTGCTTTGTGGTACAGGACTCTGGCCTTGTGTGATCCAACCAACAAGGGATCTGAAAATACAAGCTTACTATTATGTTGTATCACAAATCTGTCTTGCAGAAATAAACAATTCTGTTGGAACTATGGATTCAACAGTAGAGGAATGCACCATAGTGGAGCAGCAGAGTCCTGAGGAGGAGAGTAAAGCTGAGGCAGCAGCTGCTGCAACAGAAGAAGGCTCTGCAATATCTCACTGTCAGGAAGTCCCCAAGGAGTCGACCGCCACTAGCAGCCCCGACACTGACTCACCCATCATGCTCAATGTCGAGGTAAGTCCAAGAGTGAAGATGCTTAATTAAAAATATGCCAAGGATCTTTTTGTTTTTAACCAAAATCATTCTATTTCTCTGGAATGAAAACGCCGTTACTCACTAAACAATGGATACATTACCCTTCATTGGTTCTGTTGTATGCTGATGTTATTCTTACTATTGGTGCAGGAGATGGGCTCAGGGAACACCAGCCAGAAGTCTGATGAGGAAGACTTTGTCAAGGTGGATGACTTGCCATTGCAGCTCACAGTCATGTGTGAGGTGTGTTAACATTTACAGAGTCAAAGTGTAAAATCCCAGAGAGTACGTCTTCATCTGATGATCCACTGTGTTTGTACTGTCAGGAGGAGCTTCAGAAGAGAATAGTGGAGGAACAGCAGAATAACAACTTATCTGCAGAGATCCTCAGTGGGAACACTGAATCACTGACTGGTCTGGTGGGAAATGCACAGGCGCTGAAGGAACCAGGTATGGATTACAGTCCTTGTTCGTTGGGATTACACATTTGTTTGTGTGGCTGCCAAACACTCTACAAAAGCCAAGTCTCCTACCATTTGTGCATCCATGTATGTCAGAGCTGTATTAGCCCATACACAAACTAAAACTGAGTAAATTTTTTTTCTTCTTTGTCTCTTTCAGACACTGTTGCTGCCCAGCCTGTGTAGAAAATTATAACGATGTTTCCAAACCTATGAACACTATGCTGAGATGGTCAGTCTGTTCTGGATGTATGATTCTTGATCTGCTAGTTTAAAGGGAGCAACCGCTAATATTAGTTGCAATTTAGCTATGATTCGCACATATGTACACACACACACACACACACCAGATAAAAGTAAGCCTCTACACATCAACACTTCATTTTATTCTTGAGATGTTTGTGATTTATTTATAACCTAGGATGGGCATCTTTCTGTGCTGCTGGTTACTGACATGTTGAATCTTTATAGTATTGAAACTCCTGTTTAGTTCTGCCTTAGCCCCTTTGTTCTGGGATCAGTTTGACATGAGTTCTGTTTTTTTTTAATGTTTCATTTGTCTTGGCCCTGCCTTCCTACGGTACGGCTTGTGCTCTTTGCACATTGTTGCTACTTCTGAAGAGATTACAGTGGGATGCAGGTTTAGTTGTAGCCTGGCTGACGGTAGCTAACTGTTTCTCAGGCTTGAACAGTTTTTCCTTTATATCAAAGCTCAGATTCAACTTTTATCCCTTCAGGCATCTTTATATGCTCTTTTGTTCTGGTAATTGTTAGTTTCCATAGATTTTTTCATGTAATTAAAATGTTGACTACACTAATAAGTTTAAAATAAAACTGAAAAGTGATGATGCAGGACTTTCTAAACTGGTTGCTGCTGCTGATTTAAGATCACATCTTTCTTCTTCAGGTGCTTTGTAGCTATTTTCAGTTATATAGTATCCTACTGATCTCGGAATGTTACTGTCATTACCTGTAGGTAACCCTAACCCCTCATTTCCCCCATATGTGGCTGGGTTGTGTTCTGTCTCCAGAGCTGTTCAGTCTAGTCACTGCTTGCGACTCCACCGGTTGCAGCTGTGACACGCCGTGGAAGTGGCTCTTCACTCCACTCTGCTAAAGATAGGCGTTTTGTCTATTTTTGATTGTTGCTTCAGCCAAAACTTCGACCCACTGATCAGGTAGCACTTTCTCTAACCAGAGATAATTACCCTTAGAATATATTTTTAACAACTGAAACACAGCCACTAATCTGACTTAATGCTAACAGATACATTTTATGTTGTCTGTAGGCTACAGAGCAACAAAAACCATTTAACTCTGATAGTTGGTGAAGAAACCACACCAGCCTATTCATTGTAGAAACCCCAAAACAAGGTAAAATAGCCTACCAGAAAAATCAGCACAACAAGCTGCTCTGGGTGATGGATCAAAACTGTGATGCTGCCGCATGTGGTGTTAAGGGGTAAGGCTAGAATACCAACCAGGCGAAATGGATAACTGCCCTATGGGCCCAAACGCCCTGTGGTTATTGTGTGTACTATTTCAGCTCAGGAGGACAGTTTGGTTTGTTGGTCTGTTGGGGCACAATAGCAGTGTTTTGTCAGGGACCATCCAGCGAGGTTAAACCTGACCATAGTTGCACATTACCCAAGAAATCTCCCAACACTTAAATTAAATTCTAAACCAATTCAAAGACTTAACATAGTAGAAATTTTGAATTTTTAATTGCAATAAAAAAAAAAAGGTACATTTGTTAGTGACATACGCTTACCGGCCACTTTATTAGGTACACCTGTACAATTGAATGCAATTCAGTGCAACACTTGTCTTAACATGTGTTTATTACGCTCAATGTTTGTTTTACGTGAACTTGTGAAATCTGTTTAATTTGTAGTAAGGTCACAGTTAAAGGACAACAAATCCTTTAACTGTGACCTTACTAACAAACTAATAAATTTACATTTGACAATTTCACTAAAACCAAGCACCATAAACGCGTGTTTAAGACAAGTGTTGCATTCAGTTGTGCAGGTGTACCCAATAAAACTGCCAGTGAGATTATTTGTCATTTGAAACTCTGAAATTAAAGCAGGGCCTTCTAACGGTCACAAAGCAACAAGTACAGGCTTGTTTTGGAAAACCATCAAGCTACAGTCAAGTCAGATTTTGCAGTAAATGAACTGCACATGTCAGCAGTAGCTTGAATTATTCCAGAACATCACTGAGGTCATACTGCAAATGATACATGTATAATTACGGTAAAAGATACAGATTTAGCCTTTTTTTTTTTTAGCTTGAATTATTCCTATTCCATTATGCCAAAATGACATCAGGGGCACAAACTCTGGTTCAGGAGATTAGTATCAGTGCATTTGCCAACTGCTCAGAGGATCACCAGGGCATGCAAGGGTCTGGGCAGTCACGGATATACGACTCCAGTTTTCCTTCAGACACTTGCATCAGCGTTGTGTATGTGGTCAACTGAAAAGGTCACGAGAAAGGAGGAAAAAATAAACTGAAGCAATCTAACTAGATTTGGATGTGAAAGTCAAAATGATCAAGAAAAGACTCACCTTGTTTAACACTGGTTTGGTGGAGAGTACATCATAGATGGTCTTTACAGAGATGTTCTAAAAGAAGAAATGAGATTAAAAAGGTAACAGGAATGTGACTTGTCCAGTACTTCAGCCCTAAAGTCACATGTGGAAGAGCTTGACCAGAAGTGCAAACATTTACATCCTCTCAGAGATAGAAAGGTGTCCAGTACTGGAAGTGGATGTCATCAGTACTCACCGCCTGTGTGGTCTGGTTCATGCACTTCATGGCAGGGGTTCTGCGATCATCCAGGAAAAATGGCTCCTCCCAGTGGTCGTAGTTTGTCTCCAGGACATACCAGCGGTTCAACTTCAGGTCAATCCTGAAACAATCATTTAAAACAATGTCTCAAGATGACACAATGCAACTGATTTGTTAAACAGTGGAAAAAAAGATCTGAAACCAAAAGCTGTCATCGGTTCTTAGCTGAGCAAATGGTTCTGTGTTTCACAAGAGAAACACAAGGAAAGCTGTGTCACCACAAGTCATTTAGTACGCGTTTTAAACAGGCAAACCAGGTCTCAATATCTGTGTTGCTTGCATTACATTGCAATGCAGTGCAGTACTTACTCCAGGATATTAATGCTGTTCTGTCTGGACCTGGTGATGATGCAGCCCTGGCCTGTTTGGTTTCCTCCCAGGATGAAGTAGGCTGGAGCGAGCAGCTTCGTCTGAGCCAGGCGCATCTTGGCCTCCTCGTAGCTGATAATGAAACAGTGTTATTTCTGGGACTGCAACATCGTCAGGTGACATTGAGAGACAGCGTTCAGTTTTTAATGCATCGCAAATTTGGAACAAACTCAAATCAGTCTGCTCAAACTATGTTCTTTTAAATCATAGCTCAAAACTAAACTTCTGTTATTGTCTGTCATTTCAGCATTTGAATTGCCTTGTTTTTGAAAACATAAAAATCCCAGCCCTGCTGTGAAATAGATTTCACCACTGTATTTTTCAGGATGCCAAATGTGCTCCTCAAGATTTCACTGGTAAAAACTGAAGTTTGTAATTTCTTTCTCAGCAAGTAGCCTCACCCAAATCTTTAAGCCCTAAGTAATATGACAGTGTGTCTTGTACATAGCCCAAAAATATTTGGAAAGCCATTTCTTAATCTTTTGAAACAGGTTCTGTATCTCTTACACTGGTGCACCTCAAAATGTGCAGCCATCAGATGTTGCTATGCCCTGTTTTTAACAAGAATGTGCTTCTGTTCTGCAGATGTGTCCCTGGACAAGATACAGATGATAGAAAGGTTCCCACTCATAGAAACCGTGCTCTACAGTGTCACTAGCAGTCAAGAAAACTCCAGTGTACCTTAACGAAAACATAAATTACCTGTTAGCATTTTCTAGTACAGAGCGAGTGAGGAAACTCATCCACATTCCATCTCTCTTCCACAGGATCCATTCCAAGATACCTGCGTATAGACACGTTGAGATCAGTTCTTAATAATGAAAAACACACTGTAGATCTTCTCTCTAGTGTCTGTATAAAGTACAGGTATGTGCCAAAAAATTAGAACATCGAGGGAAAGTCCATTTATTTCAATAATTCGTTTCAAAAAGTGAAACTTGTATGTTATATTAGTTCACTATACACAAAGTGAAATATTCAGCCTTTGTGTCAATTTTGATGATTATGGATTAAAGACAAAAAACCCAAATCCAGTATTTTACAAAATTAGAATATTTCATGTGACCAATAAAAAAAAAGGATCTTAAACACGTTTGGCTTCTGAAAAGTATGTTAATGTACTGTATTATGTCCTCAGTACTTTGTTGGGCCTCCTTTTGCACTAATTACTGCATCAAGGCGGCGTGGCATGGAGGCGATCAGCCTTTGACACAGTTGAGGTGTTATGGTAGCCCAAGTTGCTTTGATTGGCCTTCAGTTTGTCTGCATTTCGGGGTCTGTGTTCCCTCATCTTCCTCTTGACAAT